GCATTAGATAATTTTTTTCCTCACAATTAGTTTATAGATAAATATAGATAGATTTGTAATCTTGGTTTAAATTGTTTTTTGTAAAACACAATTAACTGTACAGTTTAACGAGAAAAAAACAGTTTTAGTCTTGGGTTTTTGAACGGATTTCTTTCATTTTAAACTATTGTTTTTTGTTCAATACTGAACCTAAATTTGTTGAAGTCAGGAGCGGTCAAGAATGAGGTATTTTAGAAAAACACCTTTTTCATTTTTTTGCCGACGTTTCGACCTTTATTCCCGTCATCTGCAGGGCATAAAGTGTGGTGCTTCTCTTGTGGAGTTATATTGGTTTTGTGTGAAAGTATTGTCGCACAACAATTGCACCTAAAATTGTTGGGAACCGTTGTGGTCGAGTAGTTAGGGTGTCCGACTCGTATTTGCCACGTTAGCAGACCTGGGTTCGAATCTCGGCATAACCTATGGATTTTTAAGTGCAAACAATAGAGAAAGTATTGTTAAGTGATTTGTCACATGGTTCGCGACACCCACGGCGTGATGTCAAGCCCTCCTGTAAGACAGGAATTACTTTACTTCACCTATTGTTCTTTAGACTTTACTTTTCCCTTATGAGCTAGCATAATATTTGATTATAAGAAAATATGTACGACCGAATTCATTTTGCGCGATCCAGCGCTCTTCTGATAACTGTCTTTTACTTTCTTTTCCCAAGATTCTTAAAGAGACAAATACAAACGGACGTTGTATACTAGTTTCCTCAATTGAGGCATGTGGTTTTTTGTATCTTCCTGTCTGGAATTACCATCATCCATGGGCCGACAAGAACAATTAACTCCAATTCCCAGAGTTTGAAAAATCTCCTTTGATGAGACACCGGTACCGGCTTTTTAACCCCAATTCTCAGCTGAGGGTTATAAGTGTAGAAATTTAAACGAGATGTAATGGCCAATTTCAAAAATATTTGTCATGTGTTTTCAAAAAACTAAATGTTTCATCAAAGAATAAAAATTAAACAACGGATTTCACATTATTTGAATACAATATCAATATTTCTTGTAAAAAAATTTATTATTTATATTTACTATTTATCTTTTATTAATTTATTTATTGTTCGTCACAGACTAGATCATTATTTAAAGACAATTGTGTTTTAGAATAAATCTCATAAATGAAGAACAGTTAGTCATGGAAGTAAATCAATTTTAACCAAAACTATGGAACTTTCTTGACGAGAAATTAGCATATATTGCTAACGTGCAAGCGTGAATGTGTCTTAAGACATGTGCTACGACAAAGTAAGAATAAAACAACGGTCCAGCACATATTCAATTGTATAAGGCAATATTTTGAAATAGTGTCCTGTGCGTAATTTTGGGACCCGGAGGAGGGCACAAATCGCACAGATGTTCGGGTACCTCTGGTCTATAGGGATTTTGTGTTTGTTTCGTATTTATCTTAATTTACTGGAATGAATATAGTTCATTAACGTGAAAGTAAAAAAATACGAGATCTGGGGTGAGTGTAAGACGTCTATTGAGTACAAGTTAGTAGAGAGAAGGAGTTGAACCCCGCTTAGAGGAATCTCAAGTACTCAGTGTACAAATAACACCGGAGTCGATACCAATAGGGGGACTCAATATTACAATCAAAACGCAGCACAAGTTTTTAGGTTTGCTCATAGACAGTAAACTTCTATGGACACCTCATATTAATCACATAGTCGGAAAATGCGAGGAAGCGCTCAACTTCTTAAGATGCATAGCCAAAATTAATTATGGGGCCACCCTAAAACATGTTTAACATTATACAAGGCACTAGTCCAATCCAACCTCCACTACGGTAGTATATTTTTCTCTAATTCCGCCAAAACACACATGAAAAAACTAGATAGAGTACAATACAGAGCGATCCGTATCACATTGGGCGCAATGAACTCAACACATACATCAGTTTTCCTGGTGGAAGCCGGTACACCTCCCCTCGATATTCGAAGAGACTAACTTACCTGCAACTTCATGCTAACACGAATGTCAAGCTCCAGTGATATTACAAGCCAGTCATTGGAACCTGCCCTAGAACACATTTTACCAATCTCGACTCAACGAACAAGACTGATTCCAAAATATATAGAGTGGTTCTTCAAAGTAAAACAATTGACCTTGGGCCGAGGCTTTCAGGTCCCAAGGAAAATAGGTAAGCTTGAGAATGAAACAAAGGTCCTAAATGTTAGCATATTTGCGGAGGACTCTTTAGATTACCCAGAAAGTAAAACACGTGGTAATGGGCGGTCTTAATTCGTACGTCACAGCGATTTCTAGATGTAATAAGTTGTTAGTAATTCATTTTACATTAATACAAAATTTGTTACCCTTTTTTTAACAAAAGTTGTACTTTTGCTAATTATTGGGCAAGCTAATCTTCTAGACGAATTTTTGTGATGCTTACAAAAGTAAAAGCATTGTTTGAAAAATTTCTGAACAGGGAAACTATTCCATTTTCTTAATTTGAAAAGCAATTTTACAAATAGATTTCAATGACAAATGCCTTTTTTTTAACAATAAACACATTACAAAAAAAATGGTCTGGCTATAATTTATGTATTTAAGATATATACATTATTAAAATTAAGGAATTGAAAAAAAAATGTTCAATCAATCTACACAACCTAATTTTTTTTATGCTTGTTTAAAATAAAAACAAGTGGTTTGAACATTTAAAGGTAAATTTTCAAAGGTTACAGAAACCTTTTTAGCATTTCTAGATGTCAGAAATAATACCTCTAAACTTCTGAAGCTCACTAGGCTATGCTCAATATTTACTGCTCAAAGTAGAGCATTCCGTGAAGCTTTGATGTAAAATTATTGTAATTTTATCTGATAGTCAAAGTGTACTCAGCTCCCTAAAATCAAATAAGCACCCTCGAAACCCTTTAATACAAGATATCCGCCAAGGCGCCTTATTGGCTTAGGAAAGAGGTATATTTTGCAAGGGTGAAGGGACATACAACCAGTTTAATATTAAAGTAGACGAGTTGGCAAATAGGACAAGAACTAGTGGGGAATTATTAAATACCACGACAAACGTAGATTTCATTGCCCATGTTAACAACGGTTAAAAAACCGCTGGCAACGGGAATACGACACGGCAAAAATCGCTAAGGGACGCTACTACACAGGGATCCAACCCAAAATACCTTCCAAATCGTGGTTCGCCCGGATTAACCGTCCCCTGGTTTTCTTTACCGCTATCTGCAGACTATGCTTTAGTCATAACAGGCTCCCATACCACCTATACAAAATTGGGTTGACAGATACATGTCCATGCGACAACAGGTCAGTAGCCGATGCTGACCACATATTATCGTGTCCTGTAACCTCACGATGAAGAGAGGACACGATACAAACTAGAGACCACACAGAAAGAGCCATTACCTACGAAAATCTGGACAGTGGGGATTGCTGAATGTAGAGTAAGTTAGCGTGGCATAGCATCGGGCAGATGTGCACGAGGGTAAAGTAACCTTACGGAAAATCGGAGTTTGGATTTGCGTCGGGTAGCAACGGGTAGCGTCGCACGGCGTAGCATCGGGTAAGTGTGTTCCCACTTCCCGGCTTTATACTCGTCAAAACGACCAACCTACATCTATTGGACGGGATCGTGAAGATGGCTTCTCTAAATGACATCCTGATATAACATAAATAATAAATGAGCAAACAAACTTAAAAATGAACAAAAAAAGATAAAATTAAATTTAAAAAATAAAAATCATGAAAAAATATAAGGAAAATAAGTATAACCTAACTGGAATGGCGGATGCCTACACGGCAAAGCAAAAAAAAAGTACTCTGGGGTGAGTGAATGTGGCCAGACTTCTTGTGGTGGTGCATACATGTTTATTGTATGTTTTATGTTCTGTAGTTAACAACCTGAGGTACAACGGAGGATAATTTTTTAGTTTTTATATGAAAGCAGAGAGTCAGTAGTAAATCGAGACGCTCAAATAGCTCCAGATTGAAAAATACTCGTGAAAGACCAGGAAAAGAGGTACAAACACGTAGAGGGCCGGCGATGTCTTGTTACGTATTGGGTTGTCCGGAAAATAATGCAGGATTTTAAGTTTTCATTAAAAAAAATCTATATAAAATATTCTGTTTACGTTTACAGGATTACTCATTTGTNGAAATTATTTTGATTAAAGAACATTGCTTTAAAGTAACTAGTTTCTTTTTTTTTGTTTAATACCAAAATCCTGCATTATTTTCCGGACAACCCAATATAAATACATAGCTCCGTTCTATGTGAACATGCTGAATGTCGTGTACTGTTTATGATCATTAACTTTCAATGAATGACATCAAACACAGCAAAAATGTTTGACGCACAACTACAAAGCTTTATTTGTGTTTGTGAATTTTGCACGTTGAAATATAATATTGTTCTTCTCTATGTTCCTCGGTTCGGTTACGGAAGTGTGCTTTCTTCCGTGTCCCGTTCGGCGACCGGATTCTATTCCCTGTGTTTTTATTATGCAAAGAGAAAGAACAAAGCTCGGCAGTGCATAGGGCACACCCCTCGTCCCACAACGCAATAAGGGCTTGTGAAATTCTTGCAAAGGAATCGATATTAAAAAAAACCGGCAGATTTGTACGACCGAGACCGATTGGCGATTTCTTCTTAAGCTACGCACTCGTAGCCAGGAAGACGGAGATGACACAGTGATTTATTTAATAGCGAGTATTAGGTGCTGAAAAGTGACAGATTAAAGTGGTTAGGATTGAGGCTGAATTGTTATGCAGTGGAAGAGAATAGAGTGAAGACTGTCCACCCACTCACAATTCAGAGCAATTTGTTACAACTCCGTCCTTCCTGCACAAAAAGTCGTTTTTCCCCTCAAAAAAGGCAAAAAGTGCACGCATAATGTTACATACTCTTAAGGCTCTTTAAAATCCTCCTTTCTAACAACAAACTTATTTACATCGAAAATATTTTTAAGTAAAAACCTCTTTGATCCAACTGAGGGTGTAAGGTACTACGATATCACGAGGGAAGTTCATCGAACAGGAAAACATCACTGATTTTCCGACGGGTGCGGTCAGGAAAGTAGGCTTTTTTTCTTCTTCGTGCATCCAGGAACATCCTAGAAAGAAATTTTTAAAACTTATTATCGCCACTCCCTCATCCGATTCGGAGCGAGTTCACTTACTCGCATAGACGACGATGTTCAGAAGGGCGAAGAGGACGCAGCGCATGATGATGATGACCGTACTAGATGCTGCTGTAAACTGTCTCACAGCACTCTTCATTAGTAAATTGTCGGGGGGCCGCGCAAGGACAGCGACTCCCTGGAGGGGGCTCCGATACTCTAAAGATACTTCTGAGTGCATACCTTTGCAGAATCTTCAGATTGTAGATGCAAAATCGGTTCTTCTTCGTTACCGAGGATATTAAATTGACGACTATTATATCGTACAAACCTCGTTTCATAAAAATATAAAGCGTTCTACAGTGGTTTAATCATAAATCTAATTTACTCTATTTTTAACTTAAATTTTAAGTTTGAAGAGTTTCCAACCAACTTTAATTAACTTACGCCAATTATACAAAGTTTATATTTGTTTGTTTTTTAATATAAACAGAAGGCTTCTGTCTGTTGAAGAAGATAATAATGAAGGATATTAGAAAATGTTTTTTTTTGTTCCCCATGCAGCCTTCTGGCTTACCTAGTTACTTTCCTAGTTCCTTAGTTCAGTGCAATCGACTCGATTCTTCTTCTAAAGAGTACTAGGTCATTGACTAGTATTTACAATTTCATTCTCATTTCTATGTATCCTAGATTATGCTTTCAAAGAGACGTTACTTCATATTTGAAGGTTATATGGGTGGCTGTTTCTTCATTGAATGACATACAAATGAGGTCATTATTGAATGAGTAGATGTTTTCTCAGATGCCAATGGCAGGTTAATAGTCCTCTGAGACTGGCCCTATCCAATTGCAGTAGTGAGTTTGCCAGTATTGGTTGTTTTCGCATAAGTTTACTATGTCTAGTGCCCCTAGAGTTTATCAACTCCTCTTTTTTTTCATTCTGTGATCCATTCTGTTATGGAGGATTCTGTATCTGTTTTTGTTATCTCAAGTATAATTTCAGGGCCTGTATATGGTCTTTCAGATAGATCTTCCTCTGGCCAGTGTGTCTGCTTTTTCGTTACCCAAATTCCTTTGTGTCCTGGTATCCAAGATATCATCATGTTGTGTTTCCCCAGGTTTTAGAGTTTCTGGATGCATTTATCAACTTTGATATGATTTTTTACATGCTAATGCTTTAATAGCTGCTTGGCTATCCGATCTTATGACGATTTTTTTGCCAGGGTAACCTCTTTTAAGATTTTCTATGGTACAACTTCATTTGATTTGGAACCAGATTTATCATTGTATCTGATGCTCTCCTGAGTTCTCCATCTCCTTTATAGTCTGTTGTTACTTTATAGTATGTTGTAAGAATGTTGCCGTGAGTCAGTCCCCGTTTCTAGGAGTAAGTGTCTGATTTTATCAATTATGGTTATGTGCCTCGATCCAATTTGATTGATTTTGGAGCCTAAATGAGATTTTCTTAGCTTCTCCTTGCATGAATGTTTCCACTGAGGTAGGTTTAGCAGAGTTTCCAGTGCACTTGTAGGGTTGTTCTCATTGCCCCTGTGATACACAGGTTTGCTAATCTTTGCATCCCGCTTTGTGTTTGAGTAGCTAGTTTTTGTTGAGCTTTGGTCCACCAGATTAGTGATCCATAGGTTATTTTGGGTCTTTTTACTGCCATATATATACTAGTGGGCCATTTTCGGTTTTAGTCTTTAAGATTTGCCTTTAGTTCTTTTTGTGGTCATATTTTGCTTTCTGTCATGATGTGCTGCTCCAGGTAAATTAAGGTAAGATTAGCCCTAGGTATTTGACCTCGTTTTTTAACTGCAGCAGTACAGAAGCATAGGTCTTGCACAGTTAAATCTTGATATAGGTTCAAGGGGACGAAGAATAAGTACGATATATCGACATGGAGATTATGGTATATCGAAGGTAAAAAATGAAAAATACATTACATCAAAAGTTTTAATTTTGTTAGTGTATTGTACATATGTATGTATTTAAATAAAATTGTTACTTTTTTTTGTATGTACATATATGTTATTTTTACAAACATTATATGTAAATTTGAAAATAATTTGTTGAAGTCGTGAGGAGCGGTCAAAAATGGGGTAGTAATATGACAAAAAAAATGAGAAAGGTGTTTTTCTAAACTACATCATTCTTGACCTCACGACTTCAACAAATTATGAACCAACAGGTCACTAAGAAACACACATTTTTAAAAATATTGACCAATTTTTGTTTGTGTTAAAAAATTATTTAACCGTGTGCTATTTTTTCAGGTTCTTCATCTTCTTCAGCATCCCCATCGTTCAGTGAAAAGTTCGTCGTTAATCATACCAGTAACTGCAGCGTCATCGTCAAAATTAATGAAATACTGAAAAATGATGAGAATTTTTTCATTCTGTGAAAAGAGATGCCATCCGACGGAGGCTTGGATTTCATTTTCCGGTTCCGTATCGATATCTTCCGTTAGGAAATCACAAGTTCTAAAGAAATTTTGTATTGAAGTTGCCGCCTATTTCCATGTTTTGTCAGCAATATTCATTGCTCTAAGCGATGTGGTTTATCTTGAGTTAGCGGCATCGGGTGCTACATACAAAATCCACGAAACACCCACCACTGATCACAATAGACCCTACCACTCTAATCGCGCGTTTAATTGGAATTTCAATGCTAAAATACGAATTATAAGACTTTTGTAGACCTGGAAGGGGAAAAAATACGTTACACAGAGGGGACTGAAATGCAGGGTTTTATACAATTTAACGAGATTTTTTCGAAATATCGCACACGAAATATCGGGATTTAACTGTATATCTATGTTTCTTTTCTTGGTAAATGCAATGAGCGTAGTGTTTGAGGGGTTTGCTTTAAGTCCCGGTGTGAGTTCCATGTTGAGTGCTCTTTGGGTGAGGTCTTTTAATGTTGTGGCGAATTTTCTTCTGACTTGTATAAAATGCCACCTGCATAGCTTTGGGTATAGATTCACTTCCATTTAATTTGTTTATGAGGTCATCTACAACCACATTTCACAGGAGAAGTGAGAATATTCCTCCTTCACATCCTTTCACCACCACTGATTCTACTTTTTTGGAACATGGAAGAGCATTTTTCTGCTTTTTAGCATTGTTTCTATCTATCTTGTGATCATTGCTTCCATAGGAGTATTATCAAATGGCTGTCTCCCTGCTGTCAAAAGTCTGTTCACTCTTCTTTAAAGTATTTGATGATACTTATAAAGTATAGTCAAATATTTCTTTTTTGGTGTGAAAACACGACAAACAAATCCAAAAAGGAACTGTCTGTTCACACGTCTAATATTTAATGAAAACATTAATTAAATTGTTATAATTTAATTTTTGTACATTTTACAAAATGTTTATTTTTATTGCTTTTTGTAATCTTTAGTTATTATGCAATATTTATTGCATTCCCTCTCAACTTGTTAAAAGTTTCATTCGCTGCTACTAATTCACATTCACTAGTTTTTTGTAAACATTGTGCACTAGATTATTAAAGTGCATATGTCTGTATATCTCATGGCAGCTAACACCTTTATTAACCTAAGTGCCATGATTAATACTTAAATATTAATAATATTGATTCTTGAAATACTGTACTCAGAACTACTCTCACATTTTTGTTTACACATACATTATTTTGCCAAATTTCTCCCTTGCAAACTAGTCTCACTCTCTTCATAATAGAATATTGGATATGGTCAATATGCTGCCCATTGGTATGCTTATGTGCCTAAAGACAATTTGAAAAAGAATTTAAGAATTAATCTTTCAGTTGCATTCAATTAAATGGTTCGCATTGTTTTTATTTAAGTCATTATACATACTTATTCTGTTATGAACTACTATAATTGATAAACTGAACGAGCTTTAGCTTCCCACAGTACTTTTCTACTTACTTTTCTGATGAGTATATAGCATCCTGATCCCATCACCACCAATTTATATTTGGTCAGAGGGTTTGTGATTTTAGTCAATGCCAACAATTGTGTACTAGTGTATTGTAATCCCACAAATTGTAAAATTAGTGGATGGGCCATACAGATGGGGCTCCCTTGGTACATCATCTATTTTAACGTAACATTCTTTAGCCTGAAAATATCACAAAAACCACTCACCTATGTTGTCATGAAGTAGCGCACCTAATAATTGGTTTTTCGATTTTGTCCAATTCATTGAGCTCTAAATCATGTCTACCATTATCAATGGTTAAACTTTATTTAACCAAACAATGATTTCATTACTTTTCTAGGAGGAGAAAGGCAAATATTCAATTAATTTTGCACATACCAAAACGATAGATGTCATTTTTCAAATTACAGTCAAAAATCGTTAATTTAAACAGTTTAAAAGTATGCATATAATAACATTTAGGGCCCAAGGTGGCAAGGGAAAAGAGGAGGTTGGATAAGGTAAATAAATAGAACTTATATTTCCTGAAATGGTCATGGCCATTTCTGACATTTATTTTATTGAATGCCATTAATTTTGTTAAAAAGTTACAATAAAACAAATAAAATGAATCATAGGAGGTTAAGCACTCATTCAGTCTATTGACACCATTAGCAACAACATGTCATAAATACACAGAAATTTTTGAATATTTTAATACGATTTCCCGTTCTCACATTATGAAATTTCTCAGCAATTTCCAGTGATTCAAAAGTCTAAACAGAAACTCAATATGCTCAAGAAAATCAAAATTCAATTAAGCAATAGAGGAAGGAAGTAGGATGTAAGCCAAACTAGTCTTCCAAAGTATGGTAGTGTATAACAATAAACGGTACACATTAGAAATCGGGACTACAATTTTAACAACAATAACACTGTTTCCCCAAGATCTAGAGATTATTCTAAAAAGAAACATTTGTTCATTTAACAACAGTTGTTACACTACTCACTCTCACAAATAACCTAACAGCTACATACTAAATTATAAACTGCTTACAGTTTCTGAATAGATTTTACATTATATAAAATTTTCATAAAGACACTAAAGAAAATGTTTATTGCACCTCATGGAGGGCGAATTTAAGGCGACATTGGGCCAAATGAGATAACACTACCACCACTTCAAATCCAACATCTTCTGTTTTAAAGTACTGCTTATCGGAAAATACTACACAAAAAACTTACGCCAGAAAAATAATTATCAGACTGGAAACGAGCAACACTTTTTATTTAAAAATATCGAAAGATTGGCTACACCTTTGATTAGAACAGTAATGCTAAAGTTTGTTGTCAATGTTCAAATATTTCTATACAACTAGACTGAAAAATGGATCAATGTGATTTTGGCTTTTAATCACGAGGGCTTACAATTTCTATTTTTGAAAAAATATTCTATACCATGTAATTTTTAATGTTCTTTCCAAAAAAGATAAGAGGATTTTTGAAAAGACTGTACATTCTTGACTTTTTTTATTACTACTTCTCTTTTATATATAATATCTCTATCCGAATAACTTATAAAATAATAACTGATATTAACAAATAAGTAGGCGAATTCACAGTAACGGTATTGATCTCTTATCCCATTCACTCATTTAAAAAAACAAAAAACATGTCGCTTTGTTTCCCTTTTAACCTTTCATTAAAGCACACTCATACAATGTCGTTCATGCATTTATAGCTTTCAACAATTTCAGTTATGATTCAGCATGTTCACCACCTGCAACAGACAGAACAACCACTTATAGTAAATGTAGTAACATTCCATGAATTTTTTTTCTGTTTAAATTTGAAGCTTTGTGTTATATACTCGTGTTTCTGTAAAAATAATTGTAAGCTTTTAGTTTTGAAAAAATTAAATTGAAAAAAAGCCCTAAATTACAGAAACCATAATTTACAATTGTAAATAGCACTGAAGAAACAAAATGTTAATTATTTATAATAAAAACTGTTGTTTAGAATCTTAAAATATATTAAAATAATGCTTTTGCTTGGTTCACTTCACTTTATTATTCTACTAAAAAAATGAAAGTATACATCAATTTTTATTGTTAAATTCAGTAGTTAGAAATTATGAACTAATCTAATATGTAATAGTAATCTGAATATGTGACTAAAATTGTTTCATTTACAGGAAGATAATCTTAATGATTTATTACGATCATCATAAATATCTTAATGATTTATAAAAGTTGTTTAGTAAGCATTGGGTAAACTAAAATGAAAACTTATTAAATGTTGAAGATAAGTTTTAATTCTTAACATCCTTCAACAAGTAAATCTTTTTTAACCATTGAGCCCACACCATTGAGCAAAAATTGCTTATGGTGAATGGTAGGAGCTATTTGGAGGGTCCAAGTATCCTTTCATACGCTATTTGGATTGTTGTGAACAAGTCACAAATTAATAAAATATTTAGATAATAATAATAAATAAATATTTAATATATATAAAAGGAAATCTTACATTTAGACAAAGAATTAAAATTGTCAAAAGTAATAAATATATAAATGAGAGTTTTTGTGAAAAAAAGATGAACAATCAACGCCAGCACAGCCATAATCAACACGAAGCGCAGGTTAAAGAGTCAAGGATTAAAAACTTACCCTAGTCAATTTAACTGAAAAGTTAATTTAAACAAAACTAACATTTAATCAAACAATATTGTATATTACTTTATTGCTGAGGTTTATCTCATTAGATCATAACAATATATTTTTGTACAAGCCAGCTGCTTATGATCATTCAGACCTAAATATATCATATCATTTTTTAATTAAAAACATTATAAGATAGACGTGAGGTGTCTTGATTGAATGTGAACATTTCATCTTCCTGTTCTCATAGTTTTTGTGAGAGTTGCCAAAAATCAAGAATACATAAACCAATAGACCAGGAACTAATCAAGAATATTTTTCCTGCAAACAAGTCCAGCGATCGCTAAGGTCTTATAAGACTAAAACATCAAATTGCCTGGTCATCGTTATTTTCAGATTGTAGTACATCTCAATGTTGTCTCTTTATAATAAAATGCCCACAATTAAAAAGTTGCGAGATTTCCTCCTGTCTGCAGGATTAATAAATCTATAGTTTGATAGTCACCTATGATCTTGGTCTGCCTATTCTCACTGATTTTTGTCTATCAGGCACGTTTTGGCATTTCACCATCTTGTTTGGGTGATTTCTGTGGAGTGAAGATTTAGTTTCAAGTCGAGGAAGGTCAGGGGTTGTATCGGAATTAGTATTTTGTCAGTGTGTTAAGACCAAAAATCAAGAAGTCTGACTAGAACAATAAAAAAATTTAATTAAAAACCGACTTAATTCATCAAACACACTGACAAACAATACTAATACTGACCGACAGAACTCATCACCACCATCCATGGCTTCACTCCACAGAAATCAGCGAAAGGCTGAAGATGGTGAAATACCAAAACTCAGCTGACTGTCAAAAATCAGTGATGAAAGGCAGGCCAAGATAATAAGTAACTATCAGATTGTAAATTAAATACTTGTTACAACAAACCACCCACAGAGATTCAACACATTAAGAAAAAAGTGTCAACAATCAAAGAACAAAAAACATATTAAATTGTTTAGTAGCTTTTATGTAAATATAAAACAAAACCATCTGCCAGAATTGTCCTGATTGTCAAAAAAAATATTCAAATAAATCTAGGTACAAAATAGGAAAAAGGGTTAATCTCAGTTTTTAGTTTTTTAATAAATGAACAATCCAATTAATCTCTACTTAAAATACTACAAGAGGATAATGTTAAATAATAACCTCTAAATAAAGATCGTGTGAAAAAGGTTTATTTCAGTTATTAAAAAATATTCGGCTCAATAGAAAAAAATAAATAAATTACAATTTTTCCAATTATTTTTCTTTCATACCAGCGTATACTTTAACACGAACCCGTTTTTCAATAAATGAAGGGAATTTTTGTGGATGGTAGAAAATGCAAAAGAACTATTAATTGATTTTTCTTGAGAATTGTACTTTCTTTTTACATTCATAAATTAAACAAAGGTAACAATTCCTTGGACCACTTAAAATGTAACTATTATACGTTTAATTACAAGTAGTCGCTTAATACCACATACTGATATAACAGAAGACAAGCAGTAATAGTAAAAAATAATGTAAAACTATAAAATCAATGTGTAATCAATTTGCAAACGATTCACAATGGAAAAATATCCTGTATAAAGTTCTAAGTCTAAAGCCGTTTATCCTTAGTGATAAAAAAAAACTTAAATTAAATCAAATAATTCAATAAAAAATAATTTCAAGTGTATAATACACTTAAACACAATTATTTTTAAGGTTTGGATATTTTTGTAACTTTTAGATTATTCTTTCAAATTTGGTACGACAAGATTTACAAATCATATCAGCATATTTTCTCATGAAGTTGTAACTTCATCTAATAAATAAATTATTCAATTAAGAATTTTTATATATTTTTCATGAACGTTAAGGTTTATACAACCAACATACTGTTCCAAAGGTTAACAATAGTTAATAAATCAAGAATGCAATTAATTTGTCTGACTACCATCAACAGGTTGTAACATGCTTGTCAGACAAGAAGAGGAACATGTACCTGAATTTTTGTGATGCATTATATATGTATATCAATTCTAACATTCTTGGATTTTTTCCATACAAAAAGTTTAACTTTAAGACTACAAATACCATTAAAATTCCAAGCTAGATAGTCATTTGCTATGATAACAATTAGGATATATTGCCAGCAAAATAAATTGGATGATTAAAAAAATTAATTTGTTTATATAGAACGTTATGGGTAACTGTTTCAAACTAAAACTTTTTTAAATTTAACACTATGTTATTAATAAAATAGTTCAAACAATTAGAAACGCCATTAAAAAAAAGAAAGAAAAAAAATACAAAAACAAAAAGCTGTCAGTCACCTAGACTTTTTTTTTTAAAAGAATAAATACGGCCAACTGTAATCTAAAAACATCAAAAACTAAATTCAAATTTTGTAAAACATATATTCAGACAATGAAAATCCAACATTGTTTTTAACTTCTGAAAACCAAGAAGAACTGGCATCAGAAATGTTCCTTTCTGATAGATTTCTATCAAATTTATTTACATTATTTACAGTGTTATTGTGAAAATGCTTGGAAAAATGAAAATTACTTGAGTCTCAATTTAGCAATCCTGCATTTCTTCCGGCATATCGTGAGGATTGATTATCCCCGGCACTAACAACTGTATGCGCCTCTTGTTCTCTTCTATTTGCCTTAACTCCTGTTCTCTTTCATCCAAAAACAAGTCAGAATCATCTTCACCAGTGTACTCCTATAAACAAAGAAAATAAATTATTTAATTGAATAACAAAAAAAACAAGGTAATTTTATCAATACCCTAATTTGGACAAGGAAGTCTCTTAGATGTTCTTTAAATGCCTTGGTATCGTGGTCTAAATTAAACATTCCCTGGACTGTGATTTTGATTTGATTGTCTGTTAGATGTGAAAAAGCAGTTTTCAAGGTTGATGCGACATATTCCTGAACATAGGTGACATTCCGGGGGCCTGGCGTGCCGAGTGGGACACCCAGTGGGCTTGTCTTGACCAATTTGAACATATGTGCCAAAATTGTGGCATGCATTGATAGACCTACAAAATTACATTATAATTAGTTTTCAAAATAAAATTTCCCTCGTAATTTTTTTTTATCTTACATGCTGTGTGTGATGTATCAGTTACAACGGAAAGTATGTGCTGTAAAATGTCAGTGAAATAAGTAGTGTAGAAACTTTGAGCGACTTCTTTATGTTCATCGATGTTTACTAATAATAAACGAAGAATCTAAAACAAGCAAATAAATTAGTTAATTATGAAAAAATTTAAACTAAATATTAATTAATTATTAAATAATGAGATGTTTTCAAATAAATTAAACACAGCCATACTGGTTTGCTATTAATCAGTTTTGAATAAATGCTCAGACATGTAAATGCAATCTCAATGGACTTTATGTTTAAGTATTAGTTCCAAACATTTTGAGGGCAGGAGTATTTTCAACATTTATTACTACATAAAACTGGATGTGCCTTTTAAATCTAATGGTTTATGTAGAATTTCATGGATCAGTCCTTCTTATATTTACCTGAAGTCCAGTATCTGCTACATTTCTCATAGTGTGTTTGAAAGCCCAAATAATCGAGTCTAGCACAAGTTTAAATTGGGCTGGAGGTATATTTAAAAATGCAGGGAAGCAATATGTATTGACTGCCTACAATTGAAAAATAATATTAATAAAAAAATATGTATATATTATATATATATAAAATGTATATTATATATACACATAATTTAACCAACTTATATGTTAAAACATACATGTAAAAGTAAATAAAAGTTTGTCCTATGTTCAGGATAATCTTCAAAATTTTTGTTTATCATTTCAAGCGTACACTCAAATACTGCATCAAAGATTTTCGGGATTTCCGGAGTTATGTCAATTTGAAGCTGGTTGACTATGGTGGCCATGGCTGAGAGTACTTCGGGCTCCCTGGCTGCAGGTATACTGCAGTGGTTGTAATCAAGAAGCACGGCGTCCAACAAGTGCGGAATAAAATTATCTAATACCTTCAACAAACAATAACCATCAGGTAATATTCACAAGATTTATAACACAACCCATACCATTGTCCGCTCATTCGTTCTACTAATCCAATCTGATATCAATTTAAGAATTTCTTTCTTCACAACCCTCATACTTTTAATCAACAGCTGTTTTGTAATTCCCTCACCGTTAGCAGTTATAGCCGCAGTTATGTTACTACTCATCACTTTATATACATTTAGCATATCTAAGTATATCCTGCCCAACTAAAAAACAAAATAAAGTTTGAAAATAAAAATATTAAGTTTTATCGGTAACAGACAAATCTACTTACTTGCATGACATAAGGATGCCCTAATGATTTACAAGCCCTAACATTTGTTTTTAAAATGCTGACAAGTTGTTTAACAACATCAGGGTCCTTAAGGACATCCACATTCTAAAAATAAACACATTATGAGATAAAATCTTTTGACATATTGCAATACAACACCTACTTTGGAAGCCTTAGATATTATATCATCCCACACTTCGTTTGGAAGAGCCATATATTTTTCAATCAGTGCTTCTAAAGTAGCTTGATCTGCCTCAGAACTTATCATTAACCCAACTGCTTCATAAAATGTATGAACCTGAAAACCAAGCATAGTGATTTATACTATACACTAAAATGTAATTAACTTAAATAATTATTTTCAAATTAAAATATAATTTATAAACAAATAATCGATAATATATCAATGTATATATTATCGATTTAATTTCCTTCCAGTCTGTCCACTGTATGTATCTCTGCATTGTTAAACACTGTTATTGTCTAGCAGGTCAGTTGTGCCTGTTTCTTTTTAGTAGTTTACCTGTATTATTGTTAGTCCTTAGTGCTGTTTTTTAGTCGGAGTTTGCTGAACAATTTTTTTTTAAATACGTAGGTTTTTCCCTGTGTATGTGAATATTGTCTTTTTTTAACATTACACTCCTGACAATACTTTTTTCTGTTTTAATGTTTCATATAATAGATAGTTAACTGAGTTTTTTTTTTAAATATATCTCATATTTCTAGAGAAAAATGCCATGTTGGATATCTCTGTCATATATCCATGTTCTGTCATATATGTTTTTGTAATTTAAACCTTCTTCCTTACCTGTTGTGTTTGCAAATCACAAATAATAGCACTAATCGATGCCAGAATTTCTTCAATAAAAGGCACTGTTTCGCCAACCTGCACCATCACAAAATGTCGTCTGCACTTACTAGCAATTTTAATAAAAGTATCACATGCCATATCCTGAACTCCTTCATGGGTTTCTGAAAAATGAATAAATTTTTAAGTAAATATAATTATTAACATAATTGAGATGAAAACCCCATTTGCCCTCTTACCATGCATAAATTCAAACAGCTTGTTAACAACAGTCTTTAAAAATTTCCAATGTGCCCTTAAAAATCTTGGATACTGGCCAACGACGTACATAATATTAGAGGCAACTACTGCTTTGTTATCCTTCCCTTTCTTTTGTTCACACAGCCCTAACAACTCCTTTATCACTGTAACAAGGAATCTTTTTTCATCGTCTTCGTCCATTGCACCGGATATACTGCCTATGGCCCAACACAGCTGTAAGAGAAGAACTTTTTTACTTCAGACTGCTCTATTAAAGTTAAGAATAAAAAAATCCATAGTTATTCCTTTATCATCACAATGAAATATTTATTTGCAATTGGATGTTTGCAGAGTGATTCTTAAGAAAAAAATGTTGGACCATAAGTACTGAGTAGTCGGAAGAACTATGGACACCATTCTAAGTATTTAAAACATACAGTGTTGAGATTCCTCCAAGACCACTCCACACCAATGACTTGATTACAAAGCTTCTGTGTCATGACTTTCTCTGTATCACTGTAGTCAAGATGTGTAAGATAGACGAGGGTTTCTCTCATCGTCACATAAAGATTTATCGCATCTGTGTCTTTCATAAACTCTCTGACAATTTCACCATTTTCATTTTCCACAATCAGAACCTCTTCAGGTTTGGCCATTCTGGAAATCATGATGTATCGCACTTTGGAGAGGACAACCGAATAAAACTGCCTCCTTGATGACACATCCATGCTAACAGAAAATTTAGGAGAGTATGTTGTGCAAGGTGGGTATGTGTTGACAGATTTGTATAAATCAGCAGCCAAGAAGTTCCAATACTCTAAACAGATCTTGAATATTTCAACATCCTCCACTTCTGAGATCAATACAAGATAGTGAAGAGCCTAGAAAATGTCCCGTCCATATTAGAATGATGTAAAACAAAATAATCAAGATGATATTTACTCCTTGTAAGTGGGCGCTATATTCCTTTTTCTCCACGTAAGACCCCTTCTCTTTAAGAAAAGTGCACAGAAACATTGCTAAGTTTTGAATAAAATTTTGCTCCTGATCTTGACCAACCGCATAAGATTGTCTTATATCGGTGTTCAGAGGCAACATCTTAAAAAAATAAATAAATAAAATAAATATATGTATTATTAAACATTTTAAAATAATTGGTCAAGTGGAACATGAAAACTAGTGATTTTAAAATAATATTATTGTGGATAGTAATATATACAGGAATATAATTAAAACCTACCTGATCAAGTTGTAACAATGTTTGTACAAAAAGATTTGTTACTACTTCTTCATGATTAGGTACACCTTCAACATTGACTCCTGCAATTTCCGTCAGGCAATTCAGTGTTACATTTCTAAACATAGGCACGTTCAGGAACTGCAAAAAAGTTATTAAATCTCTTTATGTGATCATTTTTTAAATTACATTAAGCATAAATAAAATTAAAAAGCAAATGTCTGAAATTGATTGACCGGATTTAAATGTCAAGATATTTAAACCATACATTTAAAAAATGTTACCTTACCTTAAAAATAAGAGTGTTTATTAGCTCCGTTTCAAAAATATACCCAAGTGGAATCCAATTAAGAAATCTTAGTAGAGTTTCCAAAGTAGCACCGACTAAAGGCGCATTTTGAGAATTGTCCTTAAATATAAATTATTAATATCACCTGAAGTATACTGCTTTAAACAGATTTAAACTTACAAGAACAAACTGACAGAGCTGGAAAATTTGAAAAAACTCTTGGCACATTGTGTCCTTCAAGTGTTTTGCCTTTGTTTGGGTAAGTTGACCGCTTGAAAAGTCAAAAACCTCTTCACTCAAAAGCTTCAATATAACCATGTTGTTCTGGCATAAACTTTCATTTGTTTTACTCGCACCGACTATATCAGGGATAAACGATTCCCAATTTTTGGGCCATTCACGTTTAAGCACCTAATAAATTTTTTTCAGTAATTTTTGCATCAATGTAACAGTTTTGATACATTTAGTAATCGACTCACCTGTACGAGGATCATGTTTAATTTATTAAGATACGTTTTTTCTCTTTCCATAACCTCTGGATCTGAAGATGTTTTAATAATTAACCCTACTATGTACTTCTTAATGCCTAAAATGTATAAAGCAATTTAGATGAAAAAATTTAATTGATTTTAATGATTGTAAAATAATCATTAAGTTTACCTTCACATTGGTTTCTTGGAAGAATTTTCCACCTCGTTTTAATCACCTGTTCCAAAATTTGTAGAGCATAATATTTAGTTTGTTGATTCGTAGAGAATTCAAGGATTGCATCTACTCTGGTCCATGCATCAGGGTGTTCCTTGAGACTAGTTAGTACTTCTTGTGCCACTTTTTGCTGAAATTCAAAATGAAAATTAACAAAATAGTCCGATATTAAATAGCGACAAGAAACCAACCTGTTCCCCAATTCCAGTGTACATCCATGATACAATACTGTCCAGAAGATTTATGTCTAACTTCTGGTCGAAATCAAGAAGCTTTGAAGCTTGCTCAGGTAATGTAGCCATTCTTTCACTCAATCACCTGAAAGCAAATAATGACAATAAATAAATTCAACGAAGGAAACTAATGTTCACTATACCCACGTTGGGCACAATAAACTAACTGTTAAAACATAGACTGGACCAAAGGAACCTAACTGAATGAACACATATACATTTGCTCCTTACATAAAAAGAATAATTAATTTAAATAAGAAATTTGGTCAATTGACCACTAAACATAACTGGATTAATATTTAATAAGTAAAGAAAGTATCATTTCACTAACAGCTCCTGTGGCCACTTCATAAGTCGCTGAAAATCGAATCCGGATTATACGAATTTGAAAAATGGCAAAAAGAGGGGAAAATTCGAAATTTTGTAGGTTGAGATGAGGAGTTGGTGTCCCAGTGGATCGAAGTCACAATAGCTCAAGTGGTTAGAGCAGTGGCGTATTGAGCCAAAAGTCTTGGGTTCGAATCCCGCTCATGACACTAGCTTTATCATCTCAACCAAGACCTTACATAAAAAGAATAATTAATTGAAATAAGTAATTTGGTCAATTAGACCAATAATCATAAATGGATTTAAAATTAAATTATAAAACTTATTCTACCTGCAGACGGCTTTTGTCCTAGCATATATAATTAAAGGGGTACATCAGCAACAAAATGACAAAAATTAATATGAAATTTGATCATTACGATTAGTGGAAATGTAGATAACATACGTCTTACAGAACAACCCACCAAGGATAGGCAGGACAAAATAAATGTTATGACCAATTTCAGATTCATTGCCCGCAGACAACACAGAGAAATTTCGAGCATAAATGAGCAAAGTTTAGAGGCAAAGGTAACACGCTTTTTATTAAATTCACTATATATCTATATATCGAGGTCACAATAGCTCAAGTGGTAGAGCAGCGGCGTATCTAGCCGAAGATCGTGGGTTCGAATCCCGTTCGTGCCATTGACTTTTTTATCTCAACTAAAAACCTTAATTAATTTTAACTCTTATTAAAAACTATAATTGTATGAAGAAAAAAATTTTTTATGAAATAATCTTAGTATTCTGTATTAAAAAGTTAATTTTAGTTTAAGTTTAGTAAATAGTTAATATACATTCTATACATAAATATACTTAAAGGCGACTAAAAGCAATCAGTATTTTGCAGATCTGTATAAAACTAGTAACTAACATGATTCGCATTCTTCTTATAACCAAAACCAAAATCAATTTGGTAGTGAATTTGTTAAAAAATGTACTTTTACTAATCTATTTTAAATGTTACTTTCTTTCTGGCTCCTCGCCTACAACCAGTGCACTCAGCTTTTATTGTTAAGAAAAATTAAGACCAATTACTTAATAAGTTGTTATTCATGAAGTTTGTGAATAAGAAACTCTTTATTTACCTACATATAATTCAGAGATTTCATTAGTGTATTATTAGCAACATCACTAAATCAACAAAAGGATAAAATTAATTAAATTATTTATAGTAATTTAATTTGTAGTATGACAAGTAAATTTTATTTTTATATTTTTTTGGCTTATTTTATGTACTGTAATTTGTTGAATTTATTTTGTGTATTGAAAAATGAAGTACAATTTTAACTACAAAACTACACTCACCAGTTAAACATTTATTTATTTTTTTATAGAGTGCATTTAAACTAATAGTCTGATTGTTCAGTGTTTATCAAAACAACATTAATTGTTTTAAATTCCTTATTTTACCAGTAAAATAATTCTAATGTTAATTAATTAATCACAGGTCAATTATAAATACTTTTTTAATAAAGGGAAATATTAACTTTTACTTAATTTATTAACTTAAATAATATACTCTGTAAGCTTTGACATAATATTTTGTATTTTGAATATATTTGTCAAAAGTCACAGCTAATTTATTAATGAGCATTTTTAACTTACAAACAATTGTTTTTACATACTAGAACACTTACTCTTTACAGACACGCAGCACTCACAAAATTCTTTCAGAACGAGCTTGTTCACATATCTCACATTCACACACAGACTAGAAGACGCCTCATGTGTCACCTAAAAAGAAAATCTGAATTAAATTATGAAACCACTTCTTTAAAATTGTTGTAAAAGATCTTTTTGAAACTTGTTTTAGTATAATTATGTCAAATTAAATTATTGTAACTTAAAAATATATTAACTTAATATATTCAACCACAACACATGGTGTTGTGTTCTGTTGCAAAGAAAAAGGTATAAATTGTGAATAAACAGTGCACAAGTTCCTGAAATTACACTGTATTTTAATATGTTTTCTTACATTTGTCAACTGAAAAATAATCCTCTAAAATCCTTTTATTTAAAATCAATAATGAATTTAAAGTACATCAATAGAAATGAAAATAATTTAATTTCCTAATGCTCAATCATGTAACATTAATTTTAGAAAATTTAAAAATCATTAATAGTAAAAAATATTATTTTTCCGACTTATTGAAACTTTACTTAACCGGCTACTATAACTTTCTACAAAGGCATAATTCAATTGCACTGCAAGTAATAGATTACATTTCTTGCATTAATTTTTTTTTCTATACTTCAGTATTTTAGAATACAAATAGATAGAATTTTAGAAAAAAGAAAAAACATTTCCTTTTCCAACTTTGCAAAGTATAATTTGCTTGTAGTAATTGATATTAAATTAATAGTACTAATATCTATTTTATACCTCTTTCCGTAATCAATTTTAATTGTTAAAGCTGTGATAATTGTGAAATGTTATGTTCATTTTAAAAAGTTTTCCAACCAAGCTCAAAAATTTTTCCCACTGCATGTTTGTCAAAATTAAAAGAATAATTAGCTGAGATTGTTTGGAGGCGTTTTTTGCCAGTTAAAATGAAAAATTCTCAGCAGTTATCATATATAGAGCAAAGAACGTGGTTTGAATTAAATACCAACATACATAAATGCTTAAATTAGTATTTTTAAAATTATTTTAAAACCAAAGTTTCTATTGCAAAAATGTACTCACAAAAACCTAAAGTATTCAATTATTGAATGGTGGCCAATTGTAGAAGTGAACAACTAGGTTGAAGACCAACACTAAGAATGCACAACAGACTAAAGCAAAAAAAAATCTAACATGCATTCATTCACATTGCTTTACAAAAGCTTTAATTTTGCTAAAAACCATTAAAATCAAAATAAATGTTATATTTTAATTCACTACAATGGATATTTCTTTACAAATAAACAAAAAACAAAAATTAAAATTAATGGGTAAATGTCCCAGTACAGCCAAGATAAATGAAACATGAGAGCATGTGCTATCCAGCTTAGATTCACATAGCCAACAATATGATAATGCTAGATGTGATAACTGTCTATAAAATTTCAACAACAAATGCTTCCATATTAGTTACAAAAAGACTACACCAAAACTAAAAGGTTGGCGTTTGTTAATAGTAAGGATAGGTTAGTTAGTTTTACTTGTGGAATGTAAATGTAGTACATTATTTTAAAAGGGGAATCGAAACAAAGAGGGGAAAAATTGAAACAAAAAGCAACACTCAAATGTATGGTTTGGAGATTTATGGTTGAATCCAGTATGGGGAAAACTGAAATTAATAGAAGAATGGATTAATATAACATTTGCAACACAATGTTTAAAAACTAGGACTTTGACCAGAAAACCACCTGAATCATCATGCTTTGAAACAAAAAAAAATGACATTTGCAATTTCTTGTATTAAACCAAGAAGAACATCTGTGTCAGGAAGTCAATTAGCAATGGAAAAACCACATTGAATAAAAAAAAAAATAGTAAACTTTCTGAAGAAGCTGTACTGGAGGAATGGAATATTAAATAAAATATTATTAAATAACTATTCTCTTTAATAAAAAAATACTTTTTGAATTAGTAAACAATAAAGTAAATCAATGTCTATTATTTCCAATTTTAAAAAGTTATTACCATTCAATAAATAATAGATTTTTGTTTTTAACTAATACTGGCAGTGTATGGCCCCCTGTAGGCTTTTATAGTTGAAAATTTACCTTGTTGATTTATTGCCATGGCATAACAAACATTAACACTTGTGCAATGCAATCAAATTGTGTCTTTTTTTCTAGATGCTATTTTGTTCATATTGTTAATTATAAAACTACAAATTTTTCCCCACTAATATTAGTAATCACTGAACGATTACAATTCTAAGTTGTCGGCCATTTATACTTTTATAGAATTCAGTTATTTATCACATATAATTCATTATTTACTGTTAGTCGATTTAAAAACACAGAGAAAAAACCATATTGCTATTAAAACTGATATTATTGCCTTATTGCAAAGGTATGTCAGTTAAGAATGCGCCAAATTTTTTAAACAAATCTGTTTTTAGTTTTAAACAACACATTGCTTCTTTGAACTTCAGCCTAACAGAAAAGACTAAAGCACGGTATCACACTCACAGTATTTGAGTGGAGGCAGGGGTGAACGTGATGTCACGTCTCAATACCTCACTACACTCATCCCAATCTCCAAGCTGGTACCGAGAGCACAACATGATACTACTTTTTTCACTTTTAGACTTAACGACATAGTCGCAGTGTGCTGTTTAATTTTTATTTTTAGTGCTAGTGAGAGTGAGAGATTTAGAAATGGCATTGTTTACTGTTTTAAGCAACTCACTGCTACTTTCAACTTTAGCATAATGCCTATAACCACAATTTTTTTAAAAAGATAGTTCCTACTCACAGTTAGTTGTTTTCAACGATTCGGACTTCAAGCTTATAACTCAACAGGTTGAAAGAATTTACAACCTGATGATGAGATTATAAACTTGAAATCTGGATTGTTGAAAACAACTAACTGTGTATAGGAACTATCTTTTTAAAAAAGCTTGAAAAACATGCCCACTCTACCATTTATCATTCCTATAAATACAGTATAAACACACGGAAAAAAGTGGCATTAATGTAGACACAAATTATTGAGGAGAATGTACACTTTAAGATTAATTTGATGTATTATCAGTTGTATGAAGGTAGAACATACAAACAAAATTCAAAATTTGCCATGCTTTCGACCCGGGTCATCATCACTAGAAACCCGGGTCGAAAGCTTGGCAAATTTTGAATTTTATTTTTACAATTATTTGGAGATCGTGAGATGCGGTCTGGTGTGGTCACTAAATACCAGGCATTTTATTTTTGTTCTCCCATGACTGTACTACTGATAATACACCAAATAAGTGACAATTTTACAGGCCTTTTAAGATTAAATAGTTTTTATAAGTATATGAAGCAAAATGTTGAATTAAATGTAAACATGAATTTGACACAAATATTCCTGATGTGTCACAGTAGAGGTCTTTTAGGCTTTCAGATGAGGCAGCTAGTTGATTCAAGGAATGTAACCAGGTAGCAAAATGTTTGGGAATCGCCCCAACTCCTTCACTTGCAATCAATTCGTCCGCCCAGGCGGGTGGCCAGCAGGCACAAGCGCAGCTCACGGTCATCCCCACTGGTTGACTGAACACAAAAGATCCTGCTCGGCATTCATCCTTCACACCAGTTGCCTAGTTGATTCAACTGAGTTCACCATGGAAAGTCTTGCAATTGCATTTCAATGTGTTCATTGAAGAAATTCGTATTAGTCCCGCAATATAGGACATGAGGTGTGAGAAATATAGCGACAAAATTAAAAGCAGCGAAGCTTGGGGTACAACAGTATTTGAGAGAAAGCGCCCGTTTCCCAATTTTATAACAACGGATAAACCAGACTTTCCTTTACTGGGTTTCCTCCTTTTTTGCTTCTCTTTTTGCAGAAGAGCAAGCACAAGAAGTGCTTCCTCGGGTTCTAACGTCATACTGACTTCCCACTGGGAAGAGAAGTTGATTCCGCAAGTGATTCCTGGTGTAAAACCAGCAAATAAAGTATCTTCCCATGGCAGTAAACTAGTTGAGAGCCAACCGGGCAACTTAGTTGAATCAACCAAACCACCTCGCCTGAGAGGCCTTAAGGGTCAGAAAGAAAATAGGCCTATAACCTCAATAATAATATTCAAGTGAATAAAAATAGTGAATATTGTAATTGTTTTATTAGTTGCTGTGTTTAAATAAAAACGTGTATTCTCAAAAGGCTTTGGGAGGTATAAAAATTGTTATAAAAGTCGAGTTTCACGCATCCCAGGATAATATTGTGAGAAATCGTACAAGATCTGGCACGGTAAAAAAATAACGGTGAAAATGGGTAAAAGATCGAGACTGATTTTTCCAAGTTTCGGGGTCGGGGGGCGGGCGAAACGGTCCCGGGAGTATGAGGTTGAAATGAAAGAAAAACCCTAAAACGCGTGGAAAAACCACGGTTGAAACACTTACCAGGTGGCGAGGGTCGCATTTCCTTTTTCAATTCGCGCGGTGAGAAGTGCGAAACTCAAAAAAGAAACGAGAACGCAGAACGGGAAAATAGCGAAACGTCCTGTGTACAAACAAACGAGATGGAGAAAACTCTCCGGTGGTACGGCTCTTTTAAAAGGGGTCTTTTCTAGGCACAACCCGAATCGCCGTCCACGCCGAAAAGTCCTCTACGTTAAAAAAAAATCGTTTTTCTAACGGCGCAGAGCTGAAAAAACAAGAGCTGAAAGGTTATGAAATTTAAATTGGTCAATTAATTTATAAAAATCCGACTGAGGGACGGAAAAAGCAGAGGGCCGAAGCGAGGACGACGTCTACTCCCGGCCGAGGCGTCCGAAACGCAAACAAAAGGCAAACACGAGTAATAAAAAGATTATATAAAAAGTGAAATAGTTATCAACTTCCCGCGCGGTTTTTAACGCGAGACTCTGGGAGAGCACGATGCGAAATAATGTTTTGAGAAATGTGTCTGAGAGTGTGTGAATAAAAGACGGCACGACTGGGCGGATTGGGCTCGTCGGGCCGTCGGTCATACTTACATCAAATCTCCCTTGTAAACTGTCATCCGAACGGAAAATACGGAAAAACGTACAAAACTACCCGAACCTAATGTTTTTGAACACAATAACAAAATGGCTGAAGGTGGAGAGATGGTGGCTCTAAGCGTCCGACGGATTGGCCGAGGGCGTCGTCCCTCGCCCAATCGAAAAACGTCTTACGGTACCCGACAATGACGCACGTTGGTGTCACAGACGGCCGCCAATTACGAACACTCAACAACGCACATATACATTACGCATTCTCAAACTGCTAAGTAGTATTTAGGGTAAAGGTATATTAGGGTAAAACTAAACCACCCAATCTTCACACACACTTAGACAATTTAAATTGACTAAATAAATGTCAATAAGAACCTGGTAATTAGAGTAAAAATAAATTTCTTTACAAGATGACTCAATTAAAACAGGAATATTATCTGAAATTAATTTGTAAATATTTTTTTTAAATTAACATTAACAATGCTTTTAATGTTGAAATGATGAAGATTGGGCGATTTAGGGTAAAATCTGTGAGTAGTACCATCATTAACAAAAAATTGTAAAATGGCTTTAACAGCCTAAATAAACCAATCTTCATACACCCAATTTAAATCAATTAAATAAACTTGGTAATTAGAGAAAAAATATATTATTTCTTTACAAAATAACCCAACTAAAATATGAATACCATCTGAAATGAATTTGTAAATTTTTTTTAATTTTAATTAACGATAACAATGCTTTTAATCCCTTATATTTAATGGTCTATTGACTGAATTACTTCTTTCAATTAATTAATCTTTTTATGTAAAATTTTGGTTGAAATGAAAAAGCTAGTGCCACGTGCGGGATTCGAACCCACGAGCTTCGACTAAATACACCGCTGCTCTACCACTTGAGCTATCGTGACTTCAGCTAGCTTTTTCATTTCAATCAAAACCTTACATAAAAAGATTAATTAACTGAAATGCTTTTAATGTTGAAATGATGAAGATTGGGTGATTTAGGCTATTAAAATCTGTGAGTAGTGCCATCATTTACAAAAAAATGTAAAATGCCGTTAGCAGCCTAAATCAACCAATCTTCGTACACACAATTTAAATTAATTAAATAAACTTGATGATTAGAGAAAAAATAAATTATTTTGTTTCAAAATAACCGAACTAAAATATGAATACGTTCTGAAATGAATTTGCAAATCTTTTTTTATAATGAATGTTAACAATGTTTTTAATATTAATCCATTTATGTTTTAGTGGTCAATTGACCAAGTTACTTCTTTCAATAAATTATTCTTTTTTTATGTAAGGTTTCAGTTGAGTTAAAATAGTCAGTGTCACGAGCGGGATTCGAACCCACAATGTTCGGGTAAATACACCTCTGCTCTACCACTTGAGCTATTGTGACTGATCCTCTCGGAATCCCGTTCGAATCCCACTCGTGACACTGACTTTTTTATCTCAACCAAAATCTTACATACAAAAAAAGAATAATTAATGCTTTTGATGTTGAAATGATGAAGATTGGGTGAGTTAGGCTATTAAAATCTATGAGTAGTACCATCATTTACAAAAAAGTGTAAGAGGCCTTTAATAGCTTAAATAAATCAATGGTCATACACACAATTTTAATTAATCAAATAAATATCAAGAAGAATTTTGTACTTTTTTTTACAAAATAACCCAACTAAAATATGAATACTATCTGAAATGAATTTGTAAATCTTTTTTTTAAATTAACGTTAAGAATGCTTTTAACGTTGAAATGGTGAAGATTGTATGATTTAGGCTATTAAAATCTGTGAATACTACATTTTACATTTACAAAAAGTACAAAATGATTTTAATAGCCTAAATCAACCAATCTTCATACACACATATCTTTCAATAAGAATTCATATCATCAAATGTGAATATCATCTGAAATGATTTTTTTTTTTTTTTTTAATTAATGTTAATAAACAATGCTTTTAATTCATTTAAGTGGTCTAATTGACTACATTAATAATATCATTTAATTAATTTTTTATATGTCTTGGTAAAATTGGTATCTTCATACACACAATTTAAATTAATTAAATATTTATCTATAAGAACCTGGTAATTAGAGAAAAAATAACTTATTTATGTACAAAATAACCCAATTAAAACATGAATACCATCTCAAACGAATTTGTAAAATTTTTTTTTTAATTAGCATTAACAATGCTTTTAATTCAATTAATTATTCTTTTTATATAAAGTTCTTGGTTGAGAAGGAACAGTTAGTGTCACAAGCGGGATTCGAACCCACAACCTTTAAAAAGAATAATTAATTGAAATAAGTAATTTGGTTAATTAGACTGCTAAACATAATGGATTAATACTTTTAATGTTGAAATGATAAAGATTGAGTGATTTAGGCTATTAAAATCTTTGGATATTAAAACCATCATTTACAAAAAAGTGCAAAATGCCTTTTATAGCCTAAATCAACCAATCTTCACACACACACACACACACACACACGCACACACACACAATTTAAATCAATTAAATAAATAATAATAATATATTTTACAGAATTAATCCAATTTACAAAAAATGTTTAAATATAGAAATATACCATTTCATCATTCAATGTTAACAATGCATTTAATATTTTCAATATTGAAATGATAAAGATTGGGTGATTTAAGCTATTAAAGGCATTTTTCACATTTTTGTAAATGATAGTTCTACTCACAGAATTTAACAAATGTAAAAAACGTGTGCAAAAAATAAAAGTAAACTATAATTTAATTAGATCCCCCTTACATGTATACATATAATAAATTTAGTTTTATAAATATACTAAAATTATAATAATAATAAAAATATGCAAAACTGTAAGGACAATAATACATTCTTTACAATATCAATTATTTATAACGAAATTATCAAACAGCATTAAGAAAGAAAAGCAGAAAGAGAAAGGAGGCAAAATGAAATGAGGAAAAGTAAAGGAAATGGAAAGAAAAGGCATGATTCATGTTCTTTTTAAAAACTCAGATGGCATGGACCTGAAACAAGCCGGCAAGGAAGCAGAACTTCTCGGGAAGCAAATTTCATAGTCTTGACCATGTAATTCTGAAGGATAGGGCTAAAGGCTTTATAGAAGTGTTGAAGCTTGGGATATGATTAGTGCGTTTGGATAAGGAGTGTGGGAAAAAGATATTGAGGGCATTGATTTAATTTTAAATATGTATTTAAAACTGTAAGTTTATAAGTAAATTAACAAATACACTTATTTATTGACTCCCATGCCCTTATATCCCCTTTTCATCTGGCTTCCTAAAATTTCATAGTTGTGCGTCATAATTTTGTTATTTGGAAACATGCAACTTTTTGGTTTTTCTTCTACTGCTACTAATCTCATTTCCTCTTACCTGTCTGACAGCACTTAGAGAGTTAAAGCTTCAAATTCTATCTCCTCTTCTCTCTGAATTTCAAGGGTACCCAAGGGTCTATTCTTGGATCTTTACTCTTTTTCATGTTTCTAAATGATCTTCCATTAGTTATTAATTTCTGCCATTTCAACTTTGTACTGATGACACTCAGCTTTACATTGACTGCCTACAAGGTATCTTCCTTCTCAATGTGATCTATTCTCTCAAGCAATGGTCAAGTAATAACGGCTACGGCTGAAGATAATGACGGATACTAGGAAGTGGGGTTTTTGTTTCCCAAGCACTGCAGCTTTTGGCTTATTGAGTTTTTTTGCTTTTTGAATTCAATCTGTGACGGAGGATTCTGTGTTTGTTTTTGTTAACCCAAGTGTAGATTCAGGGCATTACATGGTCTTGCAGATACTCCTCTGGCCATTGTGTCCACTACTACAGTTAGAGAGAGCTAAACTCAAGAGGTAGGACTATATACCAGTCATTGACATCCAAGAAAACACATATACAAAATATGGGTACATCCATCAATCAATTATCTCATTTCATATTCATGCGGTTGCTTCACATTGACAACTCCAATAATTTATTTCCAATTATTAAAAAGCCCATTTTTATGTTGGATTCAAATGAAGGACTGCTGGATTTCATCCCAGAACCTTTGCCTTACAATGATGAGCGCTGTGTCAACACCTTAACTGTTGCGGCCAATGACCCTTATGTTGTTTAAGTTAAGGTTCAGTTTAATCTTAAATTCAGCAATGCATTGCTGTTTAGCAAGTATACCATATTTTGATTGTTATTAATACAAAATGACCTATATTCTTCACATATATATCATATTAAAATATTTGTACAAAATAAGACCTCAAATAGAATTAGAATGTGGTTGGATTGTCTTTCATCCTGGTTTAGCCAAACCATTAAAAAAAAGCTTTGGAGCTTAAAAATCATGTATATGCTATTGTACATCTCAGGGCTATACAGTGTAAATGGATGACTGTTATATTTCTGATTAATGTTGAAATTATTTTAGATAACTTACAATTTTGTAATTAATTAAGTTTTGTGTGCTTTGATGGGCTGTAAGATGCTATTGAGGCCGATTCTATAACAACCCCTTTTCAAAATTCAAACAAACTAGGTTTATTACATTCAAGAGTGTAAGTTATGCAAATTAACAGTAAAAAAAAAAGTTGTTTGCTCCTTTAAAATACACTATTCATTGATGAATTAGACCTTACACAATCTTACAACATTGGAAAAATATTATGCTAAATTTTCCTCTTTTCTAGAGAGCTCTTTCAATTCTGAGCTCTATAGTAATTAATGTCAGGCATTTTTTGTACATTTAATTTTACAAATGATCTTTTGCAGCAGTTACCAAACTTTTTCCGGCATCCTTAATTTATCAGAATTTTTCTGTGGCACCACAAGTCAAAATAATGGTTGATCTCAGCTTGAATTATATGATAACAGTAATAGAGTGCCCTCTCAACATGACATGCAAGAATGGCACACTTACGCAGAAAACAAACACTTTGAGCCCTGAAGATGATCTCAATAAAGATCGAAATGTTGGCACGATAACGAAAATGTTTTTCTGAAATCTACATCACACCAGACCGCATCTCACGATTTCTGAATAATTATAAAATATACAATTGCAGCTGTCTCGTTTACATCCATATATTGGTTGGATAGTCACCAAGGCTTGGTTTTTTTGGGTTTTATAAAGGGGGGGTTTAATTGTTTTTTACGTTCCACATCCAGGGATACAAAACATGTATTTTACAAAATGGGTGATATCAAATACACCCAACCCTATAAAGCTTGGACTTGATCTTACACTTAAAAAATGATTTCATGATAAAAATCTAGCTAAATAATCCAACTCTACCCATCGTTAATATTATTTGTTTGCCCAACATAATGAGAAAATACTCATCTTATTCGAGCATTTAATAATAATACTTATTTAATAAAAATACTTAACTTATGCAAGAAGAAATCATCTTTAAAAATAACAGTAACAAATAAAATTGTTAGGAGAAAACACTATGGAAAAATAACAGTAAACATACAATATTTCATAAATATAACGGTTTATTTTTCATACATCATGCATCTAACTAAATTCTAATCATTCTATATTCAACCGCTGATTAGATTTACATTAGATGGGCGCCATTTGTTTTGAAGCTAAATTGTTTTTTTCTTTTTAACTTATAGCATAAAATATAGTTAACATCTTTGTACGGTTATAAACAAGAGCAAACTTGTTAACAAACACGATTCCCAATCGCGTTGAACAAATAGAGTGCCACCGATCCAATGCAAATAAAAATTCAGTCAGAACTAATTTTCAGAACTTCTAACAAAAATGAAACATGAGTTTCTTTATATGCAAAAATATTCTTGTAATTTATATGAAAAAGAATTAATTCTTTTCTTGTAACATTTTTACATTGAAACTCATGGTTTTTTAAAAATACAAATTGGCATGTAATTTGTGGGTCGTATAATTATAGCCACAAGTATTTTATTAATTAAAGAGTTCCTTAAATTTACTGCCTAAAATATAAAACATTTTTTAGTGGTTAAAAAAAATCTTAAAATTTAACCTATATTTAATAAATTTAAATTCTTCACTTCAGTTCGTGCTCTATTAATAAGAAAATTAGGAATGGAAATGAAAAACAATTAGTTTAATGTATCGCAATAAGTCCAGATTCGAGGAGTTTCTGCATTTTTGCAGCAATATCTGGGTTCTTGAGATGGCTGTAAAATAAAATTGATAAATTAGCGCATGTTATATATGTTTAGTACTTTCTCATGTTGAAAAATACTTACTCCTTTACAGCTTGTGGGTCGTTCTGCATTTGTTCAAGGATTAGACGCATAGCAGGATCTCCCAATATCTGCTGGATTTCAGGGTCTAACATGGCTGATTTTCTAACTTCTTCTGGATTGGAACACAGTGCAATTGAACACTGTTTATACCCTTGTAAAGCTTCCTATTAAAGTGCAATACAAATATAAGAAATAATGATAACGATGAATTATTTAAGATTTAAAACTTAAGAAAACATACACTATTTACTGGATCAATATCAAGTGCCTTTTGGTAAGCAGAGATAGCCTTTGAGTGTTGCCCCATTCCTTGAAGAATTTTGCCCTTCCTGATCCAACCTTTAACTTTAAAAAAATATATATATATTAATTACATGGAAAAAAAAAAAAAAAAAAAAAAAAAAAAAAAAAAAAAAAAAAAAAGACAAAAGTCACTGCTTACTAAATTTGGGATCCAGTGTAAGACACGATTCGCAGTCTTTTAATCCTAAGTCGAAAGCTGCAAGTTTGGTGTAGCAAGCAGCTCGATTGCTGTAATACCTTGAATCATCAGGATTTCTTTTGATTGCTTCTGTATAAAACTTTATTGCCTCCGCATAATTTCCTAAGAACATTTCAACAAATCAACAAATTGATAAAGAAACTAATTCTAATGTTGTAATTAAATAGCTTGGACAGTATACCGTCTTTAAAAAGTTGATTGCCCTGTTCTTTTGCTTCTTCAGCTTTAACAGGGTCAATATATGCTCTTTTTTCAGCCTCTTTAAGTTTCTTTTCAGCATCTGATAGAAGTGCTTTCACCTCTGGTGTTCTATGCTCCGACATAGCCTTTTCGTAGTGGGTCTTTGCTTTTGCCCAGTTCTTTAAAAAAAACCAATTTCATAAAAACTAAATCTATTGGGTTGTCCGGAAAATAATGCAGGATTTTGGTATTAAACAAAAAAAAAGAAACTAGTTACTTTAAAGCAATGTTCTTTAATCAAAATAATTACTCTCAATACATTTCTCCCAACGTGTTGGTAACTTATTAATTCCGTCTGAGTAGAATTCAGAATTTTTAGAATTGATAAAGTCAATAAATGCATTTTCCAGTTCCGTTTGATTTTTGAATATTATGTGTTGTAAGTAGTGGTCCAGGTGTCTAAAAAAATGGTAGTCAGTAGGCGAGAGGTCCGGAGAGTAGGGTGGGTGAGGCAAAGTTTCATAGCCAAGCTCCAATAATTTTTGTGACGTTACACGTGACACATGTGGTCGAGCGTTGTCATGCAACAAAATGGGCCCTTTCCGATTGACCAAAGAGGGCTTCATTACTGCCAATTTCTGATGCATGGTATTAATTTGGTTACAGTATGATTCAGCATTGATGGTTTCGCCAGGATTTAAGAAGCTGTAGTGTATTAAACCAAATGAAGCCCACCATACCGTAACCATTACCTTTTTTTGATGAGTTGGGGGCTTTGGAGCTTCTCCTTTGTCGAGCCACTGTCCAGAACGTCTAGTGTTATCGTAGAGAATCCACTTTTCGTCACATGTAACAATTCTGGCCAGAAATGGGTCATTTTTGTTTCGACAAAGAAGTGATGCACAAACATCAAAGCGCTGATTTTTTTGGCGATCGTTTAATGAGTGTGGAACCCAATTTTCGAGTTTTTTCACTTTTCCAATCGCCTTGAGGTGGTCAGCGACGGTCGTTTTACTGACTTTGAGTTGCTCTGCAAGTTCTCGAACAGTTGTTTTGGGGTTTTCTTCCACCACTGATCGCAGAACATCATCATTAAGAGAGGAAGGCCTTCCACGACCTTCTTCATCTTCAAGGCTGAAATCTCCCTCCCGAAATTTTTTAAACCACCTTTGCACAGTGCACTCATTAACACAACCCTCGCCCCAGACTTGGTTAATGTTTCTAGCCGTTTGGGCTCCGCTTCGGCCGAGTTTAAACTCGTAAAAGAAAATCGTACGAAATTCTCGCTTTGACATTATAAGGATGACTGAATTATTTCCAAGTAGCGGAATGCTACAGAGGTAAACAAACAATATCATTTGGAAGAGGATTAATAAGTGTTGACATTCATACAAATGAGTAATCCTGTAAACGTAAACAGAATATTTTATATAGATTTTTTTTAATGAAAACTTAAAATCCTGCATTATTTTCCGGACAACCCGATATCAGCTATATTTGAGAGGGGAAAGAACAGAGCCAATACTGATCATACCTCCATTTTTTTATAAGCGTTTCCTATCCTGGTAAAGGCTTTGGCAATTAATTTAAAGTCAGCCCTGTTTTCTCTTCCTATTTCAATGCCTTTTTCACATTCTTTTATACATTTATCATACTCCTTCTGTTCAAAATAAACAGCTAAAAAAAGGTAAATTATTATTTTTCTGTTGAGGGGACTATACAAAAAAATACAAATTTACCGGCAATGTTGTTGTAAAATGTAATATCGGTGGGAATAATTTCTCGTGCCTTATTATAATGTTCAAGAGCTTTTTCAAATTCTTTCTTTTTATAAGCTTCATTTCCTAACTCTTTTTCTACTTTGGCCTGAAAAAGTTTAAGTTAAATTTTCTTGTTGTATTTTAGTATCAGCTCATCCTTACAGCTTTTTGTTCAGGACTCAGATCATCATCAGGGTTTGGTTCTGGTTTGGGAGGTTCAGGTTTTGGAGGTGATTGTTGAGGTGGGTTGACATCCATTGGCTCATTGCCCATGTTAAGATCAATACCGAGCAAGACACTCATCGTTGTGACCAATCGTTTGTCAGATAGAAGCAACCTAAACAAATGGCATATTTTTAAGCAACTGCGATTTAATAGCTTTAATTTAAGACTCAAACTTACGAAAAGTCCTGTGGGTTTTTTCTGACTTGCTCAAGCAACTTAAGGTATGATGGGTCATTCAGGAAATCTCTTGTCCTTGGATCAGCCCTCAATTTTGTATAGATATCCGCAGAAGAAAAGGGGTTGTTCATAGGAGGGACCCCTCCTGCAATAAGAAATTTGTCATTTTTCCAGTTCTCAAGTGTTAAAATAAAATAATTACTTTCTGGAGGGACTGCTGAATTCATGACTTCTTCTAAACCTTCCTGAAGCTGTTTGTTGTTTGGGTCACGCTTGATTCCTTCTTTATAAGCATCTATTGCTTCCTTAGACCTTCCAAGGAAAGCAAGTGCACTTCCTTTTCGGGAATAACCCTAGAATAATAAATAAGGGTAATAATAAATATAATATGCACACAGAATGCTTTCCGAAGTTACATGTAAAAAAAATATATATATAAATAAAAGCCAATATATCAAAGAAGACAATATACAAACAATATATAAACAATTCTGAATGAATTACTATTACACAAATTCACTCTTACAAACTTTTTAATGAGAAAGAATAATGAAGAATTTGTTATACTTTTCCCCAATCTGGTTTTAACTTCACAGTCTCCTCAGCATCATCCAAAGCTTTTGCATACATGCCAGCCTTGGCATAAGCGGCTGAACGGTTGCTGTATAAAACATGGTTTTTGTCATCGAGCTTGATGGCTTCGGTGTAGAAGTCAATGGCTTCCTCAAACTGCCCAGACTGAAGAGCAGCATTTCCTTTTTCCTTCAAAGTAACTGCCTACAGAAGAGAAAGAACAAGTTGGTTAAAATAGTTTGAGCTATTATTTCACTACAAAATTTATTGTTTGTAATGATGTACTGAAAAAACAGATCACCTCTTGATAATAATGAACATTAAAACTATCAACACCTATTTCAACATATTATTTTTCTTACTATGATGACCTTATCACTGTATGAGGTATATGTAGTCATTTTAATTTATACTTTTACTAATTACAGTGGAAAGATTATTGAATGAAAATCCAGTCCCTTTTCACTTTTATAGTAGTCTATATTTGCTTTTATCAAATCACACGACCTCAATGCACTCACAGCTCAAATCAGGACATGCACATACATGAGCATATCAATTCTTGCAATCCTCCAGTAATTCCAGCTCTTGTAACTTACAATAATACCAATAATAATGCCTTGAGAATCACCGACCCCGGGTATTGGCAGTCTGGGTCAGAACTTGGTCTTATCCACGTCATTTCAACCCCACACAGTAATCTCCTAAATCCATACCCCTTCACTCTCTATATTCTTACTTATTTATATACTAGTCACTCAGGGTAGGGGAGTACTCGATATACCTCCATTATCATGTTCCCTATTATATTAACTAACCTAATTGAGGGTCATTGTGGTCCTCACACAACACATTCACGCAAATAAATACACTCACTCTCAACACATGCTAAGGACATAAAAATATCATTACAATATACAATACGAAAACCATACTTTCTCCAAAAATAGAACAGGGAACCCAGATACCTACTGCTCAGGCACAATTTTCATATCGAATGCTATTCCTAAGCATTCTCTATATGGAATGCCCTTCAGTGCATGTTACAAATAATTATTTATATTTTAAATTACCAACATTTAGGATTGGTTCTTATAAACTAATTGGGCGTTCTATGTATCTCGAATCATCCTGGACTGCCTAATATTGACGGCTTCGTTCATTTAAGCTTTTTCGTATCTTCTGGTTTGTCAGTCATGGTCTGTTTTATGCTAATTAGTTCATTTACTTTCGGTGAAAACAAAGACATCTTAAGTGGACAAAACCCTGACTTGTTTGAATGAATAAATCCAAAATTGGCAAATAGATACGATCCAACTTTAGGTTCATTATATCACAGACTTCCAAAAGATATCTAGAAGAAATAGTTTTTAATTTAATATCAATACACAAGTCAGAGGGTAGAAGACCCAAATATGATGATAATGAATTTGCTAAATGTGTCTGTTGGCAGAATATAAGGCAAATATAATGGCAGAATATTGAGTACCACCCCATTGACCCTCAAGTAGCTTAGTTATATGACAGGTGTAAAGGGTGATGGAGGTATATCGAGTACCACCAACCTGTCTGAATAGTATATAAATAAGAAAGAATGTATTTAAGAGTGAGAATGGGTTTGGTTTGAACTAATTGTGATAGGAGTTGAAATGATCTAGCTGTTGGTAGCCCCCGGGCCCTGACTGAGGTCTCATCTATTTGGACGACCAACACCGAGGAGTGTGATTCTCAAAGCCTCCTAAATATGGATATTTCACATCATGTAAAATCAAATTACTATTAAAGGTTGCTAAAAAATATTTTCCTTGATAATGATAGCATATTAATTTTTCTGGGCAATAATTTCATCTTCAGTGGCTTATCTGTTTCAACAACAATTTAACAAAAAAACGGTTTTGAGTTTTTAGACATTTGTAAAGTGTTGGTATAAAAGTTTGACAGGTCAAAATAGTGAGTTAAGCATAGCAGGGTGATCAGAAGCAACAAAACTACAGGTACATTATACCACAGACTTCCAAACAATATCTACAAAAAATAATTTTTAATTTAATATTAATGACACGTCAGGCCTCGTCGTAGATGAGGTGCTCAATTGGGTGGGTTGGGATTAGAATATGACCCAAATATAATGATGTTGAATTAGTTAAATTTAGATATTACACAGTATCATGGTAAAATTAATTTTTTACCAAAGGTTGCTGGAAACTGTTTTCCTTGTTAATCAGAGCATTTTACTTTTTCTGGGTGCCAATTTCATCCCAACTGTTCCATATGATTTAAAAAAAAAAAACATTTTTGTCTTTTCAGACATTTGTCAAGTGTTGGTATTCAAGTTTACCAGGTCATCGAGACAGGCAGACCAAAGTGAACAAAACTACAAATTCACCATTTTGCATATTCAATTTCTCACACTTACTGTTCAAATAATCAATACCACTTTACTGGGTCTATCTACTATCGCTGGTTTACGTTTCATGTGCCAAATTTATTGAGCAATTGTGAATACAGTTAAAGATTAAAGACACAAGTTTTTAATGTGATCAGCGTTGAACAGTTCAAGACGTGTTCATAAGAGTTGGCAATGGCGATGAGGATACTAGAAACAGGGTTTGTGCTCCCCAGGCACTGCAGCCTTCTGGTTTATTGTACGTTCCTAGTTCCCTAGTTCAGTGCGATCTACTCAATCTCTCTGAAATATTATGTCATTGACTACTACTGCTGCCATTTCATTCCTTAGGTTTTTTTTTCTATATGCTAAGTTATGTCTCCATTGTTGCTTCACATTCCAAGATGATATGAGTGGCTGTTTCTTCCTCCTCATTACATAATCTGCAAATTTCTCAGATGACAGTGACCGTAGTCCTATCACTTCTCTGTGTCTGATGTGTTCACAGACTCGTAGATCAACAAGCACTAGTAAATTTACGCATTTGGCTTAGGAGGATTTATATAAGTGCAAATCTGCACACACTTGTACAGAATTGAGCCCATCATTTCTCGCAGTCAACTGGCATGCCACGAGAATAACCCACCCTGAGTATAGGCGATTGAGAGTTTTTAATTGTTATTTCAGGCTATGGGATTTTGATGTTTTTAAAAAAATATTTTATGGTTGGTTTTAATGAACTAATTGAGAGTACCAAGAAACTTAAAATACTATTTTAACGAGGGAAATGGACTTAAATCAAAAGCTAAGGAGGTTTTTCTTAAGAGGAAAAAACATGGTGAATTCAACGGTGATTAGGCAAAAATTTATGGACATTAATAATTCAAGGAACAACGCAATAAAACACCGTAGAACATTATTTATAGTTATAGAAATGTCAATTTGATATAAATGACCAGAGTGGGGCTCGGGCGTCGCGTCTTTTATTGCAGAAACGGTGAGAATCGCCTTCGGCCGAGGCTATCCAACATGTGATAAAACTTACAAGACGATTAGAAAGATTTGATTTAATACAATGAAATAAGCGCGGCCTTAAGGTAAAAAAATTACTCGAGGCCCTCGTGAAAATAATCAGTTTCCACTTACGTTATCCATCACGCCGGTAGAACTTTCTAGATTCGTCCGGATTCTAGAACCTTCTGAAGTTCCTGTAGAAGCTCTCGTGTAAAAATGTTATAGCACGAGCACCTAAGCCAACTCTTGAACGCCAAACCTTGTCGGCTAACTTGATAGCGCGAGTCTCGATCCGTTGAGAGCTCACGATTTTCCATATTTCTCTTAAATCTATGAAACCAATTTTAAGGATTTAAAAAAAAAAGATGCTTGTTTTTATTTAGTCCTATTTTATGTCACATTTGCCAATCTATGAAGAAAATGTCTGATCGGTTTTCGCGCTCTTTTTGTTCAAATTTCTTCCACAAATTTGTAAAACTATTATCGTACATTCCCTATGATTTAACAAAATGAAATATATCTTTCATTATCAATCCATCAAATTCAATTTATAGACAAAATAATATACGAAATTTGAAACTTAAAATAAATCCGTACTCTAAAACAATAATATATTCCTAAGTAAAATACCTATCCCTTTCTCATATCAATGGCTCCCCTATTAATTTTTGTCCTAAAGTTAACAATCTTGTTATTTTTAACTTAATCCATATTTTCTTAGAGGTCATAATTGACCATATTAGCTATTCCGAATAATTATTCTTTTTATCTAAAGTTTTTGGTTGAAATGAAAAATTAGTGGCATGAGTGGGATTTAAACCCACGACCTTCAGCTAGGGTGGAAAAGACAAGTTATTTTTAATATCAAGCTTAAATGGCATTATATGGCTTGAGCAAACCTTTTTAATAGTAGATCAACTGGCTTAAAAAAAAAAATAATAATAATAATGGTTGGTCTGACTGTTTGTTAAATAGTTATAAGATTATCTGGAGATTGTGAGATGCGGTTTGGTGTGACATAGCTTTTAGAAAAACATTTTGTTTATCGTGCCAACGTTCCATTCTTTATTGAGATCATCTTCAGGGCCTGGGATTTATAAACATTGTTTAAATTTTACAAATATATGTAGGATATTGAAAAAATGAATTTATACAATGCTAGAAATTTTAGATTCAAAGTATTTGTACTCACTCAAAGTTTTTTCCACATCCTACATGTATTTGTAAAATGTAAACAATGCTTATAAATCCCAGGCCCTAAAGATGATCTGAATAAAGATTGAAACGTTGGCACGATAAAGAAAATGTTTTTCTAAAACCTATGTCACACCAGACCGCATTTCACGATCTCCAAATAATCATTGACTAATGGTCACCACAATACCACACAATAGTTATAAGTTTAAAAGTGGATATATGGACAACTAGGGATGTGGCGTGTAGTTGGTCAACAATGGACTATGACAGGCTGCTCACCACATCCATAGTCGTCCAAATATCGACTTTTAAATTTATAACTATGTAACAAACAGTCAAACTACTTTATTTTAAAAAAGCCACTGAAGATGGTCTATATTAGACTGAAACATGTCTGACAAAATGAATGCCTAGTGTGGGAAAGACAATTTATTTCCCATCCATCAACTTATTACAGAGTTTCAGAAAATTAGGGTGGACACTATCAAAAAATTCTTGCATTAGATACTGTTAGGATCTTAAACCAAGGGATCATATTTCTTCATATTTAGCTTCTTCAGCAACTTTATTCTAAGAACTTATAAATGGGGAGTTTTAATATATATGTACGTAAAATCAGATCCAATAAATACCCTCAATATCTATCAACTGTCATATTAGTATTCTTACATCACTGTCTAAAGTGGAGCTTCCCAAACTGTGGTCCGCCGATCCCACAAATTTAGAGAAAAAGTAATAATTACAAAAATAAACAAAGAATGAATAAATAAAATTAAAAACTAATAACAATGAGTACTGAAAATGAAAGTTTTTATTTTGTAGTAGCAGTCAATGTGTTTTTCATAGACTTGCTTTAGCCATGAAACAAATGCCAACCACTTTTAAGAAAGTTTTGGATGACTCTGTTCAAATTATTAGTTATATCAAGTTGTGGCCATTGAAGTCAAGACTTTCACAATACTATGTGACATATGGGAAGTCTTGATCATTCCCACCTTCATCATACAGAAGTCAGGTGGCAGTCTTGTGCATAAGCACTTTCATGATTTCAGGAATTACATTCTGAAGTCATATCTCTGTTGATGGGCCACAATTTCAAATTGGCCAACGTGTTCAATGATGAGAAATGGCAATGTATATAAATTAGTAGATATTTAGTTTTTAATAGATATTTAGTTTTGGTGGCTTTACAGTTAGAAAATCGGGGTTGACATAGGTAAGTTAAGTCTTACCTTGTCCTTATATAAAATAAATATATACGGTACATTTCATTAAAATAAATTCCTAAATAAAAAAATCCAGTTTTGGGTTGAATCTGTTGAGCATGCAATTGAGCAAATGCACATTTATTAATGAAATATGTGATCACCTTTGAAGTTGGGAAATATCCTTACTTCTAGAACTACTCAAAAGCTTGAGATACAATGTTGCAAGACAATGAATGGGTGGTCAAACTATTTCCAAATTGACAAAGCCAACCAGCCTCCCTCAAGTGAATAAGCAAAACGTGTTCTTGGTTCGTTTGCCACAACATACCTATGTCAATCTGGATTTTCTATCCATACAGCCACCAAAACCCAACCTGTCTAGTTGCTGTACCTGACATCCGTCTCCAGTTATCAAAAATTAAACCCAAAATATCTAAATTGTGCAGGCTAAAACAACCTCACTCTTCTCATTAATTCATTAATCATTAGTGTTCAAATTATTAATTTTGAAATTGGCTAGATTTACATACCTATTGATACATACATATCAATTCTATCCAATTAGATTTTTGTGTTCCGGATTCTTTAAATGAAGTTAAGTAGGTCAATCTGTTTGTTTTCATTGTGATATTCCTCTCCATCACCTAATTAGGAATGGACTGATTTACTCTAATTTATAAAACTTTATCTAATTGTAAATACTTGAATGCGAGGGGGTCCTCCCTGGATTTTGTTCTGTGAAAGGGGACTGCTGGGTAAAGAGTTTGGGAAGTCCTTCCTTATTTACGGACTCCCATGCTCTTACATTCTCTTTTCAATCTAGCTTCCGAAAATTTCATAGTTGTGAGACAGCACTTCTCAAAATCTCAGATGATATTTGCCTAGGCACTGTTGGTAATAAGTGTACTTGTTCTACTTGATTTTTCCAAAGCATTCAGCTCCGTAAATCATAATTTGCGTATTTGGAAACTGATGCATCTTTTGGATTTTTCTTCTACTATTACTAAATTTATCTCCTCTATCTGAAAGAAGCCAACAAGTTAAAGTCATCCAAATTCTATCTCCCCTTTATAACACATGCTGGGTACACAAAATTACCAGTATTATATAGTATGTATAATAAAACAACCCTCCAAAAAATTGGAACAAGGGACGCAGAAAATCTATTATAAATGGATAAAGTTTACTCAGATTGTAATTTAATATGGATTTTATGCTGAATTGACGTAGGGTCTCCTGTTGGGTCCGTCTTCCCTTGCGGGTTCGTTGTTCCTCACTGAAGATGGTGCACTGCTGAATGCAGTTGAGTAGTTCAACAAACCCGTGACCCAATGCTGGTTCAGCTTGAATTCACCTACTCGCTGACCAACAACCAGCAATCAACACTAATATGGATTTATTCATCTGTCAGAACCAAAGCGTATTGTTTAAAATATCCTCCAAAGAACAATTTAGAGTGTAGAATTAGGAATATTTTAACCTTTTTAGATTATTGCAACTTAACTGTAAATATTACCCAATTGGGCCATCTTTATTTTAATAGAACGTACACCAAATGTATTTTATTGTTTATTTCAAACTATATGTATTTTTATCGTTATATGAATTCCAACATATTTATGTTAATGTAAGGCAAATTAAGCGAGATCAAAAATTCACGAGTTTTAATAAAAAATATTTAATTATGAAGGTTTGAAAGAAAATTCACTAAAATCCTGGACAATCATTTAGTGATAGATTAAAATTTAACATGTTTGGTGATTAGTGACCGTTAGTAGATGATTCTTTGGAAATCGTGAAATGTGATCTGGTGTGACGTAGGTTTCAAAACAGCATTTTCTTTATCATGCCAACGTTTCGATCTTTATTGAGATCATCTTCAGGGCTCAAAGTGTTTGTTTCTGCATAATTGTGCCATTCTTGCAAGTGCACACTCAACACAACACGCAAGAATGGCACAATTGTGTAGAAACAAACACTTTGAGCCCTGAAGATGATCTCAATAAAGATCGAAACGTTGGCATGATAAAGAAAATGTTTTTTTGAAACCTACGTCACACCAGATCACATCTCACGATTTCCGAATAATTAAAATTTAACTAACAATTTATTACCTCGTATTGTTTTTAATGTGTTATTTTTTCTGTTATGATACAGAATTATTTGAATAATACAACTGCTAATTTAGTACATAAACATAATTTTGAGAAACCAACGCATGTAAATGTAATAACTTCTTAACTTTATCATCTCATAGACCTCAACGCTCACCTTACAATAAATAAAATCCCTTATCACAAAACTGTCACCCTTCCAAAGCTCACAGACTGCTAGTACACAATTTACCTATAAGTATACTATAAGTATTCAACCTATCAAAATCTATGAGATTTTCTCCTGTGGTCTGGGATTGGTAATCCTTTAGTTTGATAGATACCTATCATCTTGGTCTGCCTATGCTCACTGAATTTTGTCAGTCAGATGCATCACCTTAACACTAAAGACTGACAAAAATGAGCGAGGATAGGCACACCAAGATTATAGGTAATTATCAAATTATTCAATTAAAATAAGTTTGAATTTTTGTTGATTAAAAATGAAATCCTTAGTACCAATAGTTTTCTCACAAATATTTTACTATAAAAGCATAACATCTAACTATTTTACTAAATTTAAAGTATCTAGAAAATCAATCAGCACAACCGAATAAACGAATCATGTACTTATATAACACAATGAGAAGGACTTGCTACATCATGAGATTTTGGATGTAAAGTTTATTAAAATTCAGAAATAAAATCATTTAAACTTAATGTAATTCCATCATTTTCAAGTTTTTAGAGAGTTGAATAAACTGGTACTTAATTGGCAATGAACACTATTAATTACGTAACGTGAATATACACAAAATTGACCTTTAAAAATGCCACTTCTCTAATATTAACACGAAGAGGGGATAATGGTGGCTCAAAATATATTTGGCAAGGAATCGTGGAATTTCTAATCACAAGTACGCTCCTCTTTTGGTTGCTCTTAAATATAGGCATGTGATTCATGCTTTCCTAGACCAAAATAAATTTTAAATGATGCATAAAAAAATAACTTGTTGACTTCCTAGAATCTGAAGCAAAGGGTTTTTGTGTGATAAAAATTCTTAGGGCAGAATTTCTTTTTTATTTCACGTTACATTATACTTTTCATAAAAATATGACACAATATCAAAGTTACAATTTCAATTATTTCCATTAATTAAAAATAACAAATTGGTTAATACACAATTATAGTAATTATATGAGCTGTTTCACTCCAAAAAAATATTTATCCAACTTCATTTGAACATTGACTAGACTCTCTTCTCTGAGCCCTTGACCTGATTCATGTCAAATCAAATTCAAATTTCAGTGTTCTTTCCTCCATCAAAATTGGCCAGCAGAGTGGCATCATACCGATATACATAAAAATATACATTGTATAAATAAATAAAAAGTGATCATTTGGATATAAATCACTATATACATATTATTGTCTTTTATACAATTCCCTATACTGTAATTTAATATTTATTTGTACACTTAGTTTTTTTTTGACAATTAAAAAATTAGGCAGTGGCATCCACAAAAACTCCATTACTTCTATAGCCTGCATCATAAGACTGCAAAACAAACAAAAGGAAAAAATAGAAAACAAGCTGATGAAAATCATTATACAATTATCAACGTTGAAAAAACATACCATCATGTCAGGGTCATCATCATCGCTTTCTTCCGAGGAGAAATATTCATCTTCTTCTGGCGCTCCCGCTGCGACAAGCGCTTGCAAAAATGAAGAGTTCCTTCTTGCTGACTGATACGGGGTTTCTCCGGCATAATTCGACACCTGTGGATCTGCCCGTAAGTCCTGAAGCAACACCGATGCAAGTTTCTCATCCCCGAGTTCGACTGCCAAATGGAGGCAAGTCCTTCCACTTTTATATTCCTATAAAAAGAAAAAGAAATCGAATTATGTCGAGTTCGTTGGCATATTGAATTTTGCATACTTACTCTTGCATCAATATCTGCGCCAAAACCAACAAGGTGTTTCATTATAACTAACTCCCTCGCCAGGAGTGCTATATGAATGCAGGACAGCCCTAAAACAATTGAAAAAAAAAATGAATAAATGATTATTTAAATTATTTAAAAATGTATATTGAAGGTATCTCAAGGGGAGATGAAAGTATAAGAGGAGTGGGGTAGACAATGACCTTTTATTCAAAGCCAATAGGAGGTCAAATCTCAACAAAGCTCTTTGGGTTTACCCCAGTACTATTTTGAAACAAAGACGGGATTTTCCTAATTCTATTGTACGAAAAAGGCATTGAATTTGCCTAATTGCAGGCCTCAAAAGAATTCATTTTCTGTAATAATTATTGTGAAATGGCGAGGTTGGATGATTTTTTTCCCAAGCTTAAGATTTATTTGGAATTTCAGAAATGTAGTCTGTTTTATCAGTGGTGTTTTCAGATAAATATACTTTCTTCAATAAATTTTCGTACGTCTTTCGACAGCAATATATTAGAATTTTTTTAAATATTTCAATCTCCCTTTTCAAAACACCCTATTCCGAAAATATTTTCAAACAATTAGCATTATCTTATTGACGTCTAAACTATCATAAAAAAATATTAAAGGAACTAACGGCAACAACCTTTTTATCTGAAGATAATTTTATTACAGGCGAAACGTTCGTTCGAGTTCTGAGAACAACATTTTAAGTCCGTTACGAAAGGGGACTTTTATTTCCTGTCCAAAAGGACGAGAAACCCCCCGTCGGAGAAAGGACATGCTGACAAAAATGTCCAATCCTCAAACGAACGGGCAGACGCCTAGTCTGGGATCCGTTCGCCAATTATGGTATGCTTCTGAAATAAACCTAGCTAAGAATACCAGGTCAGAAAAGAGTACTAGAATAGTGCAATCTAAAGTTGGAAAGCATTCGGGATTCCCCAGACCTACGAAAGAGAGGAGTCCACGACCCCCACTACGGTTTACAACACAAATTTCTCTCAACCGTTTCCCCTGTCCCGGGGTTCTCTGTTATGGAAAACGAAAAGAGAAAACATTTCCTACTTCCTGGATGAGGAATATCCTATTTAAAGTTTTACATACACCGGGAAAGTAACATCCTACATATCTAAAACAACAGCTATAACGTATGATTCAATGAAATAAGAAATTTTAATTAGTTCCTTGGCTCTAACTGTATGGACCATCAGAAATGATAGAATTTTTAAAGGACCTTAGGATCTACTTTAAAAATATCATACATTTCTTTCTGGTTAAGCTCTGTCAATTCTATGAAATGACCGAATTAAATATAATGAATGGAAGTTAGCAAAGGGGTACTACTACACCGGCGTGTTTAGCAAGTAAATTGCCTACTTCCTTGTATGTGATCGTTTTCTCGACCTTTCGAATATACAACGGACAGAAAAATAAGTTTCAGGGCATAAACATGGTCAAAAAGAAGTTTCCTTAAGACGTGGTTGGCGAGTGAAAAATATTTTCTTGAACGAGGTTCAACTTTTTGCTTTTTTACAAATAAAACGTACAAAAATCCTAAGAGGAAGAGGAAAACTTTCGATAATGAATGGATTTTAAATTGTGAACCGATCTTCTGGTGGCCTCGAATCAACTAGATGATTCAGTTCCTTCCCCTGTCTACTTCATCGTCTAGCGAGTAACAATTTCATTCGTGAAGAAATGCCAGCTTTATTAAAAATATTTACCAATGTAATAAAACCTTATTTAGACCTTAGGCGTACATTCCCTGTTTTATTGGTCGCATCCATCTATCTTTAGGACCAATCTAATCTACTTTTGCGCCAAATTGCGAAGCAATATGGGATTCCCCAGGTTAGAAGCTACGCGACCTTCTGTACATCTTTCAGAGTATGAACAACGTAATTTGAACGAAGGTCGTTAAATATTTTTTTTATGTTTTAGTTTCGAATATTTCTCTGCTGAGTTCTTTCAGGCAGTCTGTGTGGAACTTTTAAATTTTATGTAAAGTGTGGTTGAGATGAAAAGATTAGTTTCACGTGCGGGACACTAATCGTTTCATCTCAACCACATTTTACATAAAATTATAAATCTCTGAATAACTACTCTGGTTCAGCAATAGGATCAATTAACAAAAAAATGAATTACGTTCTACGAAGAATATTACGATATTATAAACATTAAAAATCCTTCTGAAAATTTGTGGGACACGTGTCCAATAATTTATTTGTTTTTTAAAGTTGCCTAAAAAATCACCACATAATGAGCGAGTTATGTTAAATTTCTTTTCACTGATACTTCAGTTCAACCAGCAAGTTAAGAAAACGAAAATGACAATCCATAAAAACAAGCTAATTCTCAAATAGGCTCTACTAGAGAAAGAAGAAAACAAGATATAACGTGAACGTTGAACACAACCCTATTTACACACTGTTAAGAGATTGTAAAGGATTTAAACTATTTACAATTATTTTTACATAAAAAACCCTTGATGCTCTTGTCATTGATTTTAGTGCTTTAAATTAGTTCTTAAACAGATACGGTTTCTTGAATATGATTTACAAATAAACCCTCATTAAGATTAAATTAGTCTTTCGCAAAAATTATTGTTAAGAAATTTAAAGATGTCCTATTGTTAGAAAATTCGAGAAAATAGGGATCGAGGTAAACCTTAAAATAGCTGACCTGACATTATAACCATAGTTTCTCATGGTTCAATTAGTGCTTATATCCAATCTTAAGAACGGTGCAGAGTTCAATAAAAGAAAACAAACTGGACAAGACGATCTTTATCAATCCGAACGGTCTGGTGACTTCCAGACCATTATGACACTTTTAGGGGTGTTAACATGTTTAAAAAGTTCAAATGTAGAAAAGAACAGGAAAACCAAGTGGTGGCAGGAGCTTATCTTTATAAACAAGAAGTGTATGCAGAAATTGTGTTTTACCATCGTAATTGAAGACGTCCAATTCTGGAGGATGAGGCTGCCTCGGTTCCGGGACGTATCGCAGCTGTGCAGCGGAGACCTCGGCCACTGTCACCTGCTCAGTGAGAGCTCGGACGCAGAGAAGATCTCCACATGCAGTGGCCAAGTGGAGTGGCGTGTTGCCGCTCTTATCGACGATCCTCGTGTTGGCACCAGCACAGACTAGCCTCCTCACTATCCTCGGTTGCGAAGTGAGCACTGCGAGATGGAGTGCAGTCTGAAAAAGAGATAACAATTTAACAACTTATCTTGACTACAAGCATTGGGATTTAAAATTCCGATGGTACTTGATAAGATTGTGTATTTTTGTACACGGTAATGGACTATCAAGTACCAAGCAGGGTCAAGGTAAAACATGTCCGAACTGCCTTTTTTCCAGATAGATAAGGATTGTTTGAATGATGCAGTCTATATAGTAAACGTTCGTTAGTTTTATGCATATCAAGAAATTTGCAGTAAAAAAATAAATCCTGTCATACATGAGGGCTTAACGTCTAATTGCCCATATGGACAAACCTTAGACGAGAGGGGACAAACCACAATACTTTATGCGTATTATACACGCTTAAAAATCCATGGGCTATACCGGGATTCGAACCCAGGACCGTTAACGTGGCAATTCGATGTCGAACACCCTAACCACTATGCATACATTAATGAAATTGAAAAAAAAAATCAAGAAATTAGAACGTTTCTTTATACGACTGTCGTAATACCTTCGTCCACGAAGTGGACATTTGGACTAAATGTGTTGTAGTAACCGACAGACATAAAATTTAATTATTTGATTGTGACAGATTTTTAAAAATCTGCGAGGATAGGCAGACCAAGATGATAGGTAAATACAAAACAATAGGTTTATCACCCCGCAAACCACGAGAAATTTTCACGATAAAATTTAATTTGTTGAAGTCGTGAGGAGCGGTCATGAATGAAGTTAGTTTAGAAAAACAACTTTTCATTTTTTTTTACCGACCTTTCGACTGACGATTCATATTGGTTTTGCGTGAAAGTGTTGTGACAAATACCATTATGACACCACAAGAATAGCACCACACTTTATGCCCTGAAGATGACCCGAATTAAGGTCGAAACGTCGGCAAAAAAATGAAAAAGGCGTTATTTTAAACTACCTCATTCCGCTCCTCACGACTTCAACAAATTACGAAACAACAGGTCACTAATCAACACAGAATAAAATTTAATATTTAAACCAAACATTTCGATCGATTTCACTAGGATAAAAATGTTTTTGAAGTTTAAGAGGGAATATAAATGGCATATAAAAGGAAAACTTGATATAAAATTTGGTCCCATTTCAAAACAGGTTTCACTTTTTAATATGCATGCATAAGTAGCCACACAAAAAGAAAGATGCAAAATTTTTTCTCTTTCTTTTAGCAAAAAGACTAGTATAAGAGTCTAGGAAAATTTTGTTTTTATAAACCACGTGGTAAATATTACTCCATTATTATTTATTTAAAAGAAAGTAATACATGCCATAACGACTAAGTTTTTGTTGTTCTTTTTTAATAATTACCTGTAGTACATTTTATTGAAAAAAATTGATAAACAATTTGGTTATTCAAAAATTTATAATAAGCATAAGGTCAACATTTCTATACCATACATTCAATAATTTGTTAAGTGGTGAGGAGCGGTCAGGAATGAAGTATTTAAACAAAAAACAAGTTTTTTTGTGTGGAAAAAATAGAGATATAAAGAATATAAATATTGAACCAAGTATTTGATAAGACATCACGAGAATAACACCACACTTTATGCGAGTTTGAAATATTTAGTTCAAAATTTGTATTTACATATGTACTGTATTTTTTCTAATCAACATAAGTTTTGTAATTCGCCCAGGCCCTGAAGATGACCGGAATAAAGGTCGAAACATCGGCAAATAATGAAAAAGGCGTTTTTCTAAAATACTTCATTCCTGACCGCTCCTCACCACTTCAAATTTTTTTTTCATATTGTTATAGTTTGACGTGCTGCTCAACGATTTCGTGATGTAAACCATACGAATACACATGTCTCTTTTATAAATATAAACATAAACACAAAATGAAATTCAGAGATTTCCTCCAATAGACTGAGATAAATCTATAGTTTGACCCGTCATCTAGCCTACCTTCGCTGATTTTTGTCAATCTACAAGGATAGGCAGACCAAGATGACAGGTAACTATCAAACAGGCCTATCACGTGACCACAAGACGAAATGTCACAATTTTGTATTGTGTTTATGTATATTTTTATTGAAAAATCGTTGGGCAGTTCATGTCCGGGTGGAAAATGGAATCTCAACGATATTCTTTACCACCAATCGATCCAAGGTAACGCTGTTTGAACAGTTTGGGAATCCCAACGAGTTGAGTGTTCAGAGTAGATATTAAAACTGAGTGAAGCGATAATGGGATTTCAAAATTTATAAGAAATCCACGGTTTTTCCCCCTGAAGAGGTGAACAATAGACAATTGACGATCGGTTAGTCGTCACAACCGATAACCTCTCATGCCCTGTGAATATTATTAACTATAAGTTTTAAGTAAAAAAAGAGCTTTCGTTGGAGTAATTCATGTTAACTTAGCGAGCTTTGATAAGCACAATTGCGAGGGCAGATGGGGAAACCCCAGCCAAGTGGTCTGTTTGTAATAAGCCAATAATAAAAATGATGTCAAAAGAAAATGCTAATTAAATTACATAGTTAAAACTGACATCCTGTTATAATTACTTCTACGGAAAACTCGTTGATGAATGAAACTCGTTTTAACTCAGCGACCTTGAATTTTGTAAAAAAAAATAAAAGGATGGAATGCAGAAAGAAAATTGAAAAAGAAGATTACCTGGGTAACATCATTCCTCAAGTCCAAATAGAGTGGGCTCGGTACCATCCTTATTAAGCTAAACGCAACCTCGACAGAGCCTTGAATAATCGCCACATGCAGTTGCCTAAAAGGTTATTACAGAAATTTGTTAAATTTTATGGATTTGTGTTTTTAATGGTTGTGAGTACTTACGTATCGCCTTCGTCGTCTTGCTGGAAGTAGAGCTTCCAGGGCGGAGTGTCATCTTTCCTGCCTCTCGTCGTGGTCGGTTTGTCCAGATCGTTCTGATCTTCTATGTTCAAATCGCTCAATTGGTCGGACAAACCGACGTCTACACCGCTGTCGATCCTCATGTAGGCTTCTTTCTTAAACTCGCATTCTCTATCCAGCTGGGTCTGTTCTGGATTTTGTCTTTCCGCGTTTCCGGGAGGTGTGATCTCGCCAGAAGCGAACGTCTCCGATTGAATGTTGACGCCGGAGAGAAAGCCCGAGTCGTGCAAGTCCTTCGGGTCCGCTTCGGATTTCTGCCTTCCGATCTGATCTGAAACCGTCCCCTTGTTAGAGGTGGAACTCTCTTGTTGCCACATTGTCACTTCTATCTATGCGCCGGACACTGGGAAACACTAGAACATCGTCCGGAAAGGTTCACGTTTTCGGGATCGGACGAAGAAAACTCAATGGAACGCGTCAAGGATAAACTGACCCGTGCTATGGGCTCGCACCGACAAACCCTGAGTTGTGACAGGAGGACGTGGAGTAATACTAGAGAAAGGACGAGAGAGTGGGGAACCCGCACATGCGCCTTATACACTAGGGATTCCCCGGCTCGACGACTCCGTGTACAAATCTACTTATAAATTATTTAGATTTTTCCAAATCCCCCTTCGCCTTATTTTCCTCAAAAGCGATAGTTAGTCGACGTCGAATTTTCTATTCGGAAATTCCGTGGATAATTTACAAATTTAGACCTTTTTCTTTGTGAAACCCGACCTCCCATCAAATTCTCTTTGGTCCGACCTGTCCCATTTCTTGGAAACTGTATTATTTTTCAATGAATGAAACAACATTGACTTGCTGTTGTTATCTACGCCGTACAACAGATAAACAAGACTGCGTATAAATTTCCAAATCGAACCGGTTCAAATTAAATTGTTCAACGTCAAAATCTGCAATCCCACAGGTCATCTTAGGACGTTAAAATTACGGATGATACAGTTCACTTATTTATTAAATTTTCGATCATAAATTAAAAATCTACGAGGATGGACATTTTATAACGCAATTTATCTATATCAATACGTTCTATTATTATAAAAACAATTACATAAGCTTTTTTGGATTGCTACTCTTGCTTCAACCGGTTAATTCTATACACTTCACTTAATGGTTTCAAACACTTCAAAATTGAATAATTACAGCAATTATACTTACGGGCCAATTTTGATTGATTTAAAAAATAATACACATAGATTCTTATTGTTTTAAAATTTTTGATTTTTTTTTAAATTAAAGAGCATTAATTTTAACTCTTTTCAAAGTTACACACCTTCGTTCTGACAAGATGGTACGTGTAAAGAAAAAGTATAACGTAACGATTTTATAAACAGCGAGTAATATAAAAATAGGACTTATTACAATAAATCCCTTTATTTTGGCCTGTTATACTGATATAAATCAAATTAATCCATATATGTACTTAATAGTCATAATTGACCGTATTAATTATTTCAATTAATTATACTTTCTATTTAAGAACTTAGCTGAGATGAAAAACCCGGTGTCACGGGCGGTATTCGAACCCAAGGCCTTTTGCTCAATACACCGCTGCTCTAACCACTTGAAGTCACGATAGCTCAGACAATTAATTAAGGTTTTTAGTTGAGATGAAAAAAAGTTAATGGCAGCTCAGACAGTTACTTTTGAGCCAAAGTCCGCATACCGGCATATAGAGAAAGATAGCTCGATTAATTAAATGACGCAATTCCATGGTTCTATATAGAGAGCGTGTAGGAATGCTACACGAAATGAGAATTGTGCTTGAGCACGGTAATAAGTGCTTGGGTACCCTGTCCAAATTCTTGGAGGAAATGTTTTATTCATATATGTGTTCATAGTTTATATTGTATTTTGTAGTCATAATTGACCACATTAATTATTTTAATTCATTCTTTTAATCTAAGGTTTTGGTTGAGATGAAAAAACGAATGTCACGAGCGCGATTCGAAGTCATGATAGCTCAAATCGTTAGAGCAGCGTATTGAGCCGAAGGTCGTGGGTTCAAAGGTTTACATGTATGTCCATGCAGAGTTGAACTTATCACTTCTCACAGTCAACCGGAAATCCAGTTTTTCTAATTTACAATCAATTACCGGCAGACCTCGAGAATCACCCACTCCGGGTGTTGGCAGACCAGGGTCAGACCGCCGCCGAGGTTGGGCCAGGGGCTATCAACACCTAGGTCACTTCAGCCCCCGATGCAATCAGTTCCTAGATCCAAACCCATTCAAACTCTTACTACAAATACATCCTTTCCAATGGACATACCATTCTCTAAGGATGGTGGATGTTCAATGTTCCGATATCGGCCCTCTTAACACTAAACATTTAGCTGATATATACGTTAACTTTCAACACACGCTAAAGAACACAGAACTATCAGTGCCTACTAAATTCATAAAACGACTCTGTTTCATCCAAAAATTTGAACCGGGGAACCAGTTACTTGCTGCCACGATCAAGCACGACTCATATCGGGACGCATTCCTACACGCTCTCCATAAGTTTGGCATGTTATAGTATTATACTTCGAATATTTTAATTATAGAATTATGTTATCAATAAACAAAACTCAATAGTTCTCCCTCTGTTGCAAACATGTTAACTTATTGAATTAACATTTTAAAAAAATTAATTTATTTGGAAGGAATGGCAAGACACTACTCAATCATTAGTAAATCTCTAATTGGAAAAAATTCTATTATTTCGAAATTTTCACTCTATTGGTCATTTCTTGTCTGAATATGCACATTTTAATAATTACCCTTTAGTTTTAGTGAGTTAATTGTTTTAATTTATATACTAAATTATAATTAAATTATACGAACAGTAGGAGCAGCTGGAACAAAAAAATAAATAAACAAACTATGATTCGTTTTATTGGCGCAAAAGGAAATTGACGATTGACGTGTGACACGACGACCTTGCATGCATAATGTAACGTACGTAGATTATCAATAGATCCCGCATCCTGTTTTAGGAAGTCGTCGCATATTACAATTGAGCTAAGACATCAATAAGCTAAATCAAGAGACGTCAGGGACTGGGAGAAGTGGAAGAGGGCTTTGCCCTACTGCGGGCCTAATTTCTGACGAAGAAGTTGAGGAATACTGAACAATGTCATGAACATTATCCTATTCCATAAGTAACTTGATCTGTTTTTGTCTGTAAGACAATTTTTGACTTCTTCAGTATAATCACTATGATCAGTGATATCACCACTATGATTGGTTGTGCTAGTGACTCTTTTACAGGTTTGTAAAATGTTAAGAGATTTTCTTCGTTACCCACAGATGACAAAATAACAGCCAATAGAGAAGGCAGTGGTCGAAGAGTGTTTAAATCAAGGAAGAATCTTGTGTTTTTAATATTCAAATATCAGATGGATTAACTAAATATCAACCCTTGGCGAACTATGACTGAAAAGTTGGACGGACTAACCACCGAAAGGTCTACCAGATAAAATCAAAGAGACCAGGGTGATCTGAGACAATCAAACTGAATAACTGGATTATTTATTCCAGTTCTTTTTTTAAATTTAATTTGGTGGTAAAATGTTTTACAATCCTGATTGTTAGTTTTTTTTAAACTAAAACACAAATTATTTTTTATGCCATGTAATTCAATAGCTATGCATATCGGGCCACGTCTCTGGTCCCTCTTCAAAGCTGTTATTTGGGCAAAATAGAACTCCCTTCATTCGAGTTCTATTCAGCTCAAATAACAGCTTTGAAGAGAGACCAGGGGCCTGGCCTGAAATACATGTCACATGGAAAAAAATAATTTGTGTTTTAGTTTAAAAAAATCAACAATCTGGTTTATTTATTAATATCTGGTCTATTTTAACGAACCCTATGTCAAATTAAGAAGTTCGACGAACCTGAGAGTACCGATGTTCAAAAGGGGCTTAGTACTTTCTAAACCCAGACAAAATTTAATTATCTAACGGGTTTTCAAGAAATTAACTAAACCTAGAATTCTATGCAGGTCAGACAGAATTTAAATCGTGTAGTCCATTAAAAAACTGACTTTTTCAAAAAATAATTATGAACAGTTTGTGAAGAATCGGTACTATTTGTCAAAAAAAATATTGGTAAAAAATGTTCGTGAAAGAAAAACAAATTTAAAATATGTAAGTTTAAAATTCTGCTTGTACAGAAGTGAATAGTAATTGAATTTAATTATAGTCATTATTGCATGAGTTCAGATAGTTGTTGAAAATTTCAAACCTGGTCTCTTATAGTCAAATTAGAAGATTGGATTGTACTTAATGTAAGAGTAAATTGTATATTTTCCAGCCTTTAGATGTATAATATTAAATCTTTTTAATTTGCCTAAAAGTTTTTTTTTTTTTCAACTAGGATAGAGTTGTTTGTCCATGCCTAAAGCGACAGAAGGTCGAATATACAATGTCACAATTAACTATTGCTTACATGAAATGTTAATTAACAACAAAATTTATACCAAATGTGCTTTCTTAGTACCCTATTGTAAGAATTATTAAAAAGACCTACCGAAAAGTTTTGTCCTGGGCGACGGAACTGTTGCACTACCCAGCACGGAGAGGCACTAACTGACTGACTATGGGGCGTTTCAGAATTTTCCCTTATTGGCAAATGAAAGGGACGAACTGTCGGGGAAATTTGTGGTATCATTTCACCCCTCCCCTCCATCGGCATTTCCCGGCCGTGTAATTAGGGAAAAGGTTGTCTCGAGAAAATATCTTTCTTTTTAATCTTTGGGGATAGGATTGTATACAAATAGGCGATATAAGGGTCTCAATCAAATCATAAAGGAACTAATTTTCCTCCTTGGGCGATAAATTCGTATTATCCATTCTAAATATTTTCTTTCTTCTTTAAGTTTACCCAAGTTAATATCTCATTAGCTTATTTGAATATATATTTGATTAAAAACCTTGTTGACAGACCTTAACTTATGTTTATATGGTATATTGTAATTATATTGTACTAAAAAACAGACATAACTGATTTTCACTTTATATCAACACACGTACAAGCTACACATGAATTCCCGATGAAAATTAACAATGGCTTAATTTTTTCCGTTGTCATAATCATAATGTTTCAAAAGACAAAATTTCTAACCAAACTGCCATTAAAACAAAATGTGCTTGATTGAATAGCAACATCTACAATCAGATGTGCAATTTAAATTTCATATATGTTAAAAATTAAACACAAAAAATATGTAGTTTATGAACATAAACTTGAACATAATATGGTTCAAGATGAGTTTAAAACACTCTAGGTTAATACATTTTTTTTTTAAATTACGCTAGGCCATAAATATAAATGAAATGCTTAATTAAACAACATTATTAACAATCATGGTTATCGGACTCAGGAATTTTGGGACCATTTTTGGAAAATGGGAGGGGACGACTAAAGCCTGATAGAAAAACCCAAGGAATTTCCATGCTCCTATGTTTCCCAAGTAAACACAATCGTTATTCAAATAACCCTTTTCGATAAACTAAACCTAAGTGGAACGAACAAACAAAATTTCCCCAAGAGGGCAAAAATAACGACTTATTTACTCTTCAGGGTGTTTTTGGGTTCCTTTTTTCTAAACAATGAAAATGCTATCTGGTATAATTTTATTTTTGTGATACAAATATCAATAAAATCTGACCAAGCAGTGATATTGAAGAATACCAAATACAGGAATTTGAAATAAAAAAGACATCCTTGTCTTTAAAAAACTGCGTAATAACTCATTAATGTTATAATAAAGCAATATTTTACACGGAGAAAAGGTTGCTCGATGTATCACACATAATTTCTCCTTCCCCCGTTCCGCTTTGGGAGGACGTAGGCTTTTTTTATTGTTTATAGATACATTTTTATGTGTTTTGTTTGAGTGCGTGTATTTATTAGTGCGCGTGGTGAGGGGCTGATGGTGAAATGCAGCGTCACCAATTTCCCTCCAGAAGTGTGTGTGTTTAGGGTCGATAGCGGAATATTTATGAGAGTACCCCATCGACCCTAATTTAGATTAGATTATTAATATTGTGTGTAGGTTGCTGGAATAATACGGAGTACTCCACTGATTGATATGCGAGGGTGCAATATGTAGATGTGAATGTATTTATTTGTGCGACTGTATCATAAAAGTTAGTTTTAGGTTAGATTGTATTTTGCGTGCGTTGAAGGCTGAAATAACCTAGCTGTTGAATAGACTAACCATGTTGGTTGGGAATCGCAAATCTCCTAGGCATCTGGATTAAGGGGAATACCAGCGATAACAGGCGCATAATGGTAGGTGAACTCACCGGAGTTATAGGACTCAAGGGTCAGCACAGGGAAGTAACAACCCTAAGGGTGAAAATCCAATACTATAATATTGTCTTCTATATATTAATAAAATCCTAGTATAAGGTCGTTTACAATGAGATAGTGTGAATGTAATTTATTAGGGTGAATGGAGGGGCATATCCCAAATTGCCCGGAGGAATATCGATTAGTTTTGATGAATTTTTTGATTGAATGCTAACCAGACTATCATGTTTTGATCTTGTTTCGGTGTATTTGTGTTGTTTTATCCCACAACTGATGAGGCCCTGAGATACAGAGAGGCAAGCAGTAAGAAACAGAAAAGAGAGAGTTGGTTACCGCTATCTCATAAAACACCATAACTTCACTGGAGAAACAGTAAAAGAAATTAGTAGGTTTAAAACGCGAAAAAGATAAGAAAAAATAGAACTTCAATTATTTCAATATAAATTTAAGTACAAAGACGAAGGTCGTGGGTTCGAATCTCGCTCGTGACACTAACTTTTTCATCTTAACCAAGACCTTAGATAAAAATAAAATTAATTGAAATAATTAATATGGTCAATTACACCGCTAAGCATATAGGAGTTAAGTACAAAGATTCAAATCTTTATAAAATGCGTACTAACATATTTTGTTATATGAAAAAACACGAAACTCCACAGATTAAAGGTTTAGAATTATCTAATCTATTTAGCGACTGTGCAAAAGATTAAAAAAAGTTGTCGTGAACTGGGTTGTACAACGTCTCAACAAAAGAACTAAAGTAAGAAAACTGTGAGAATTTTAAAATATTAACACAATTAGTAACATGTTAAGATAGGCTATTACCAAGGTGCTGTTAATGTCTGTCAATCGGCCACGTGCGTGGATATACAAATGTCCAATATAGAACCTTCATCTTGAAATCCAAGCGTAAATTTCGATTTTAGTTTTCTAAAGGCGGCTTTCACGTTTGCAGAATGATGCCTCTGCCCGGTCAAATAATGATGGGAGTTGCGTAACGGTGAAAGCACGGGAAAGTTGATAGTAATTTTCAAAACTGACATAGTCGTCAGTGCGTCCTTTGTATCGTCGCTAATTAGGGAAAAAATTGATACGAGATAATCGTTAGAAGGGCCCATTCAACAAGGCCGGCCACACCTTTAATCAATCAGCACGTTTTGTAATTATCCCTACCTACGTTACCTACATTTCAAATATGAACGAAAACTTGTTTGTACATCTTAACATTCAAGCGGTAGTCATTTATTTGAGATATACAAAGAAAAACAGCAATTTTTTATTGATTAGATAATTTATTTTTATTTCAATTAATTAATGTTTTTATGTAATGTCTTGGTTGAGATGAAAAGTTAATGTCACGAACGGGATTCGAACCCACGACCTTCGGCTCAATACGCCGCTGCTCTAACCACTTGAGCTATCGTGACAAATGTTTAGAGCAGCGGCGTGTCGAGCCAAAGGTCGTGGGTTCGAATCCCGCTCGTGACACTAACTTTTTCATCACAAGCAAAACCTTACATAAAAAGAATAATTAATTGAAATAAGTAATTTGGTGGACTAGACCATTAAACTTAAACGGATTTATTTTTATTGTTGCTTATTTCCATTTGTATAATTTTATTATTTACTAGTGTTGCGCACTTTTCTGAAATTTATTCCGCGAAGTATATGTATTTTTTGAACATTGAAGCAGCCAGGTCTTTGTGAGAATTATTTGTAATTTCAAGTCTTTACCTGAGCCCTTTTCACTGCAGGTACTTTATACCAGGTGGTTAACCAAATAGCCTTGCTGTTTCAATGTTCAAGAAATACCTATAGTTCCCGGTATATTTCCATCGATTCAGCATTAGTTTTTAAAAAAACTGCAAAATATGGTATGAAAAAAACGACTGAAAAAAATAATTTCAAAAAAGAATTTCAAATGTTTTCAATTTGCGATGATAGTCCAAGTCTAGTTCGTGATAATTCCTGACTTGTAAAGAAACAATCCGGAAAAAAAACTTTGGCCCTTATTTTCTTGGCTCCTCATTAAAAATATACGATCCACATTAATCAAGTAGTGAATAATAGACAGAAAACACACCAGAAAAAAAGGCCTACAAATAAAAATTGAAAAATCCATAACAATGATACACAAAACCATCATAAAATTATCAATGAAAGTTGTTAATATATTATGTATATTGTCTAATAATAGTCGGGTACTTACTTAATAATAAATTTATTAACCTTAAATTCAAGTTAAAGTCAAATAAGTTTAACCAAAAAATTAAAATAGGAAACTGGAAAAAAATTATGAAACTCACTGTAGCTTGTGGAAATGATCTCTGGGTCAGCGATAGTGTGGTTAATCGTGAACCTCCACAGCTTTCTGTACACATTGGGAACCCCAGGTTTTCGACGGGGGACAGACGATACCAACTGGGTTAAGGACATGTGCAACGTTTATGATGGTTATTTCATTCACGCGGTTTATTAACTTAACAAATCAACGATGACTCGTTAAAATTATAATTTGAATTTTTTTTTCAAAGTTGATTTAAGCGTAACCATTATATTTTGGGATGTTGATCATTCTTTAAGTAGAATTTTTTTAAAGACAGCTTAGTACAAACGTAGTTCACAATATTTTAAATTTTTGACCGAATTATAAAAAAAAAGATAATACGTTATCAATATTGTAGAAACTTTCATCATGCTGTAACATGCTTTGGTAAGAAAAAAATCTGATGGAAGTAAAAGATTAACAAGTAAATAAAGCACACTTACTTAACAGTGGAAGTTGTCAAAAAATAGTTTCAGCAATGCGGAGTTTCTATCTACTGGTCTTGGAAAAAACCGTTTCACTTATGTACAAGTCCATGTGCCTCTGAAGACGAAAACCCCCCAGTGTAATGCCCTTCTCAACCTGAAGAAAGCTGATTTTAAATCTCGCGTTGTTTACAAATATTTAACAACTCTTAAGCCTTACATCAAGAGATAACGATGTAGAATCAATTTCCGAGTAGACTATTCTTTTAAAAAAATCTATTGAAAGAAAATATAATGCACGTTTTTATTCATCCAACGTTATCTTTATTGATCTTAATTGATAGATATTAATTGGTCAAGCGGATCACGAAAACTAATGAATTGAATGGAGTTATCTTTATTTTAATCCGTGAACTTTTCTTATTTATAACTTAGTTTGATTATAACTAGTCACATTCGGCAATTTGGCAGTTTCAAGAAGCATATTTTACATGAAATGTTGCCGGGATGGCTATCAACTATGTTTCTCGTGTAATTTAAGAAAGGCAGAGGAAATGGTCCATAATATAGGGGTCTAAACCGGTTAAAATTCTTTCACCATACTCTACTTTTTGAGCAACTGACAGTGTACAGTCCTTGGCATGTTGGGACAGAGTCGGTCTTCAAAGAAATTTGTAACCATCTATTAAAAACTTAATTATGTTAATTTGTATACATAGATTATGATTGTTTTACCCTGACCTGATGATGACCTTAAAATAGGTCGAAAATTTGGCAGTAACAATTGAAATTGTTTTTCATGCAGACCATACAGAGATCCAGATTATTCGTGTTACATAAATATTAACAAGTAAATTATATAGGTTTATTTAAAGAAGTATTGAGCTACTGAGTTATTATTTATGTTTGTTTATTTTTATTTTGTACCTGCTTTTGTAAAAATAGTACCTTAACAACTTGCTTCAGTAGTTTATACATGTTGGCTTTAAAAAGTTTTTATGTTTGACTTTATGCTACACTAATTTTTTTCGAAAACACGAAATTATTTTTGTTTAAATGAATAATTTTGAATAAATATTCAGGCTAACATAACATATAGTTTTTCCAGGGAATAAAACAAATTGATCTTAATAAGTTACTCGGTTACAATTTAATTTCTTTATGAATTAATGAAGAAAGAACTTTATTATAATAAATAAAAAGTTTTTAATTTACTTGAAAACAAGGGTACATATATAAAAAAAACTCAAGATATAAATAATAATTATAAATAATACTACAATAAGATTTATTAGCGTGAAAGGAAGGGGTTGCTTATAACCCCGCCCCGAGGAATATCGAGTACTCTGGGGGAATGAATGTGACCAGACATCTATGTTTGTGGTGATGTATATATATGTATTGTATGTTTTGTTGTTATTCTGTATTTGACAACCTGAGGTACAAACGAGAGACTAGCATTCTAGAATATCAACGTAGTATATATCTGAAATCAGAGAGTCAGTAACCAGATCGAGATGCTCAAATGGCTGCAGTTTAAAACAAAATATGCGCGAAAGAAAAGAAAAAGATGGAAAACACGTAGAGGGCCGGCGATGACCTCAGCTGTTTGTTGGCCCATAAACTTCCCACTTATGTACAATAAGATTAAAAAGTAAGAAAAATGAATTGTTGGTGACTGCAGTACATGGAACGAAAAAACGATAGCAAATACTCGTAGAGCTTCTCTACTCTCTACAAAACTAAAGTTAAGTAAATTAAAAATTAAATTGTTCCACGAGCTCTCTGCGGTACCCAAGTGCACTCTTAGTAAAGACAGTCAGGTCTGTGCATTTTGGAAAGCTTGAGATGAGAAAAGCTTTCGAATCTCTGTTAGTACCAAAAAAGATAATCCGGAACGGAAGGATGGAACACAGCCAAAAAGTGGAAAATGTCTTCTCTTGCAGAGGAGTTGGACAGTGAATAGTGATCAATAGAGTCATCTCTCAATGGGAAGAAATTATGAGCTCGCACCCAAGTTTGAAGAACCACCGTAGGGACAAGGGAATATTATTTTTATATGTTCAGTATTACTAATGTTCAACAATTTAAAGACAAATTCGATTCTTGTAAAGAAATTTTCATAAAATCAACTATTTAATATCAAAATCTAGGCAAAAATGAAACTTCGTCCCATTAACTCCCTTTCTAATTAGCTGAAATACAAAAAAAAAAAAATAAAATAAAATAAATAAATAAATATAAAAATAAAGAGTGAAAATGCAAAAATATCCATTTGATATTATCTGAGAATTATTCTGACTATAAATTTGAAAATGTAATGAGTTGAAAGTTGATCTTTAGGCCGAAACAAATAGATTGTAACATGCTATCAAATGTCCAAAGTCCGATTTGTTGAGACAGCTATAGTGGCATAGCATATCACATTGAAATAAAATTATGGAAAAAACATTATTTTTGAATTTTTTACGCCTGCTTATTTTATTCTTAAGTCTGCTAAAGTACTCTAACATCAAATCAGGACTTTAAAATTTACATTTTGCCTTTAAATAGATGTGAGCGATTTAAAAGTACCATTTCAAATAATAAAGGTGCCTGAAATTTAGCCGCAACCTACTGGAAGGCCGTACTGTGGATATTAATAACGGATAACTATATATAACTTCATTCTGGGTTAAAAAAAAAAAAAAAGAAACTTCCTATTTGCTATTTTTAAGATTTACCAGCGACGAAATGTCTCTTGACAACTGGTGAGTAAGAAAGCAAGCTGTGTTGGTATTTTTCAACTGCAACGCGGATCTATTAGGAAATTCCTAATTATGGTGAGACCTGAGTCGATATTTCATCATTGGTTTAATCGGAATTATTGTAATCACTTAGATCAAAAATAATCTGACGAATTTCCCGAAAGCTCTGGCAGTTTCAAACAATTTCCTGGGGAGTTCCTTTTTTTCAGCCTCTGTAAAAATTAGAAAAGCAGCGGGATATTTGTCAGGAAGAGTAATGTTCCCTGGAATTTTAAATATACTTTCTTTCTATAAATCTGAAAGATGTAAAGTTAAACGTCTATTACTCAATATGATGGTTGGTCCTCTAAGGGGGTACTGCTAAGATTCTTATAAATTTAACAAAATTTACCAAAAAACTCCTTTAGGGTCTATGTTCGAACAGAGATCGGTTTCCTAACCATTAAAGTCACTATGTTTGACCAAATGTAAAAGTTCTTGGTAAAGCTGTTCTCCAGTCTCCTTCCCTGATGACTCTATCCAGAAACATTGTTATAACAGACTGATCCGACATGTGGAAAACAGTATTATTCCATTTAATTGGGCGCAACTACTAAAAAATCTCTCTAGTTGATTGGTGCCCAACATATCGGGGAATCACAATGTGTGGCTGCAGTACAAAAAGATTATTCAGATTTAATTATAAAATTTGATAATAACTCATTAAGTCTATAGACTAGTCATAGACATAGTGGTACATCAATTCTTTGACGAAGGAATGATAAGGTGATTGTGCATAGTGAGTTTGGGAATAGTAAGGAGTTTGAAGAATTATCCAAAAGTAAGAACTTTTGATTAGAATGCTTAGATTCGTTAGATGATAGATGGTATATACCACAGTTTCACTCTGTATGTCCAAATAGGCATAAAACAATGTTTTGTACAGAGTTAGTTTGTTCTTTACTGTCATGCCTGATTTCTGCCCTATACCTATAGGGCATACGTATTTGTCCAAATCGTGTATTCAGTTCTTGTCGCTTGAGTATTGTATGAGTGTTCCATGTTGTCTACTGTCTAAATATAGCACTTAGTATTTTACTATATATAGATGTCGGGACGTCTTAACTGTAAACGTATAGATGTCGGCAAGCTAATTATCAAACGAAGAGCAAAAAGTAACACCGATTTCATCGCCTAATGACGAACCTCCGACGCCACCTAAAGGACGTCCGATGTTACGGGTTATAAAATGAGATTTAATGATTGAGGGGAGGATTAAAATGCTGCGCGGTAGTATCATACCTTAAACTCTAAGGAAGAAAGAGGTGTGACATATAACAAACCAACCATTTAGTTTTTATGAAGCTTTGAATCAGTTAAAAAAAAATTTAACGTGAAAGTAATTTGGGTGTATTGGTCTTCGTTCTGTTTCACCTTCTACGTTTTGCACCCCTCTTCAATGAACTCAAGATGTTCCTGGATAATGTAGGTGGCTTTGTAGGTTTGAAGCAATTGAAGCTAGGAGATAAAATTGCGTTATCGTCCGCGTAAGTTGTAAGGATGTTGTTGGGATGTATCGGCAGGTCAGTAGTATAAACGTTATACAGGAAAGGACCAAAAAGCTCCCTTACGGTACGCCGACCTGGGCTTGTGTTGCCTCAGAGAACTCATTGCCCTACTCTGCAGCAATCCGTTAGATAGAATTGGTAATAAAGTAGGCACTGCTTTGGTGAAGAAAACACCCGGGTGCCAGACCCTATCAAAATGTGGAGACATTTCTACAAATAACTATCTGCTCTTTAAAGAAGAGGAACAGAGGAGGAAAAAATCCTGAAACATCGTGGAATGTCAGACAGAAACCAAATTGATATGATGAAATGATATTACTTCGTCAGGTACAAACCTTTTCAAAAATATATTATTAATGAAACTTTAATAGTCAAATTTAATGCTTTTCTCCACGAATCTTTATTAAATTTAATTCTCCCCATTTTATTATGTTTTCTGTGGACCTTTTATGACCATGTGATAGTACACTTGAGACCTTTCTACGAAGTGTTTATGGTAATTGATGTTTTGATAAAAAGTTTTGAAATATTTTTAAAGTAAAAACGGTTAGTTCTTGTTATTTTTATAAATATCTTTTAAATTAATTTTTGTCATTCGAAATAAATGCTGTTTTTTGAAAAAAAAAATCATGGCTTTTAAACTATTTTATAACAATAATGGTTGAAAAAATGGATCCAAAAATTATATATAATTATGATATTTATTTTTATTGGTTCAATTTTAAATCAAGACTCTAGACAAAATATTAGTATTTAAAACATACACAATTAACATAATTTTGTTATCTTGGAAAAAGGATCTTCGGTGAAGTCACAACAGAACGACAATTCTTTAAGTTTTTGCCGAGCTTTCGACGATTATATCTATACATCCTATTTATTAAAGGAAAATATAGCAGTTAGTACATATTGTATAATTTAAAAAAAATTAAAAACAATTATATTTTTCTTTCTTTAATTCGATGAGTGTTGAAATTTGTCTTTTGAAAAATGCAGTTTTTTCTGTTAGTTTTTGTCTTGAGAAAAAAAACTCCATTTTTCTCTTTTTTCTCAAGACATATTTCAACACTCATCGAGTTAAAGTAAGAAACATATAATTGTTTTTAAATTATGCAATATGTTCTAACTGCTATATTTTCCTACAATAAATAGGCCTGATGTTGACGATTTAATCGTCGAAAGCTCGGCAAAAACTTAAAGAATTGTCGTTCTGCTGTGACCTCACCGAAGATTCTTTTCTAAGTTGTTTAACATCAGGTCGATCCATCATCTTATCTTTAATAATTTTGTTAATTTCGTAGTGAATTTTCTCTTTAGGCATAGGAACACTCGTTAACTACTTGGGTCAGTCTACTAGCTAATAGAGTCCATCAAGGATTTGTGCTATCCTTTTTATTTTTATCATGCCAGTTGACGTAATACAAATCCTCTTTAACACGTTTAACATTGGTTAGGTAAATTTAATAATATATAAAAATATTTTCTCTAACAAATTAATTTAATTAATAAAAAAAAAAGTTGAGTTCCTCAGTGAAGATGATGCAATACCGAACGTGTTTCAGTAATTCAACCAACCCGAAGACGACCAAACCGAATAAGTGATCCTAGCCGGTTCAGCATGAGTTCACCGACTCGCAGATCAACACCCATCAACCATTATAAAAAAAGTCAGTAATACAAATAAAAGTACGCACACACACATTATGAAATCATCACTCATTTATTCCTTCATTTACTAGCTCCTCAATCACTCCATCTCCAACTCCCTAGACACTTACTCGCTCTCTAACCCAAACACACTAAGTTGTACTAAATTTTTTTTGTATACATCTCGGCTAGCATTATTTTTTGTTTGTTTTTAGAACGTTTCGACACTCTCACCAAGTGATGATATAGATAAAAGGCTGCTTTGAAACAAATCTATTGTGTCAAAGATTATAATATTCAAGTAATCTTTTTTTTTCTACTGCGGCATCTACTATTAAAAATGACAAAATGTTTTCATAAATAAACGAAAATCTATTTTACGGATAGAAATATTGATGAAAATAATATTTGTATATCAATTAATTCATTCATTTTCCAAGACAATATTATCAGAACCAGGAAATCTTAATTCCGAATCTATATTACCTTTCAATGTTTGGCATAAATGTCGTAGTATGCCAAAAAATAAAGTTGCCATTTTTTGACAATATCAAGAATTTAAATCTAATTTAAAAAAATAGATAAAATAAACCTTATTTGTGTGTAACTTTTCCAATATATGCATTAACCAGTAACTATAATTTTAAATAAATTACACTGATATTAATGCATAAGATGAATGATTCTACTGTCAGTGCTGACATAATATCGAAACGTCTCTGACAGACAAACCAGGCAGACCAAAATAATTGGTACCGACCAAAGATTTACTCATTTTTACTGTTTCAGAACCGATAGTTTAAATTCGAGTATTTTACTTGTTCCTTTTTGATTTTGATCAAGGACTTGCCAACCAGTTTGGTTTTAAAAGATTATTTCCTCAAAAGGTGTTTCCCCCTTCATTTCCTTAGCGGCTATTGCTCACAGGCTTATTAATACAAAATAGGTCAAAATACGGGAATAAATTATTTTTTAAAAATATTATAAAAAAACATTTATGCAGACAGTTAGGGACTTGTTGAGTTGTTTATATTTGTTAATAGCTCTTCAAGTTGATAATGTTTGATTATTAAAATTGTTTAATTAAAAAAGTCTGATGCCCTTTGTAGGTTCGCACTATTTATTTTGTAACAAAACACCTAATAAAACGTTTTAAAGTATTAGATTAATAAGAATGGTAAGGATGAAGTACTTCTTTGTAAATTCCAGGCCATTCCGCCGTCGACTGATCCTTCCTTAGACCTCCCGGCATTGCATACCACTGCGAGTCCATCTAACCTTCGGGCTTTCCCAGTCGGAATCCGGAACGGCTCAGCGTTGATAAGAGTTCGCGAAAAGCAATCATGAGAGGAATTTCGAAACTACCCGCATCACGGAAGCAAAAAGTGATAAATCTAAGAAAGGAATGACAGATTCCTTTCTCAGATTCTCAGACACAAGTCAAGATCCCCTCTTGTATTATGTTCCGGTCATTAAGAGTTACGACGGGGTAAATTCCATTACCAATCTAAATTTCAGTTTCAAAGGAAATGAATTTCTGGTTAACAGTGAAAAGCGTTTTAAGCGTTAACTTTTTTTTAACTTAAAGGACTTAATCCATCAAATACACCGACAACTAATAACTAATATCTACACAGCCTCCCCCACACCATACAAGATCTCGTATCAAAAACTTCTCCCAGAAATTACTGTTTGTTAATCTTTTCCAATGTGTGTATACACGATTGAAAAATTGCAAATAAAACTATTTTCTTTCTCTATTATCTAGCACACCATTCACATAAATATGACATTTATTGTTAATTTCTCCTGGGTAATGATTTGATCCTGGTCTATTTAATCTTCCCCAACACAACACCACGCCAAGCATTTCACATATTGATATTTACTTGCGTCTATACTGCACACTTGCTAAGGAGAAAATTCAGAAATAAACTAACTCAGGAAAATGAAGATTGTTAATAAAACCATTCAGGAAAGGTAATCACATTCATGGGGAAATATTAGCAACAACCACCTATCGGTAATAAAAATAAATAGAAATATAAAAAACCCACATCCATGCTACTGCTAATTCCTCTATGCAAAAAGATATATACATTTAATTTTTTCACTTTCCAGTTGTAAGTCTCCAACTCTTTGTGTTATCATACATACATCTAATGGAATGCCCATCACAAAAGAGTGAAATTATAAACTGAAAAATTGTATGACATTAAGACCTTTTTGTATGTCTTAATGTTTAGCCTGACGATGGAGTCAAGTGTTGTGTGGATAAACATTTTCTCTCAATTCAAATGTTTTTTGTAGTTAGGATACCTCTCAGTATTAACTTAATGGTAGGATATAATTTTATAATCATATTTTAAATAATCACAAACTGTCAACTTGCAAAAGTTCACAGATCGAGCTAGCACACGATCTTCAATGCATCTTGCGTTAGGGAGCCATCGATGGATATCATGTTCGACCTTCCACAGAAATGCCTGTCCAAACCATAACATCAGCACCTCCATAGCTTCTTGGGAGTGAAAATGCTCGAACATCTATCTGAGGTGTGACACGTTGGAGACCTGATCCATGCCTTCTTGTTGCCTCCAGTATCTTGTTAGCTATCTGTAGCGCACACAGGGATCCAAGGTAATGAGGAAGCCACAGAAAACGCTGAGCTCGAAACAACAGTCACAGTAGTGCCGAAACGCTACCTCATCTCCATGGCCTCGAAAAATGACATTGGCCCAATGGGAGGAACGTTGGAGGCGTACTACTAAAGGTCTTCAAACTAAAAAGTTCTTCCCAACGGTAGAATCGAGGATGGCAGTAGAACTGAAACACCACCATATGCTTAGCCAACTTGTAAGTGGCCGTGGACAAACTCGAGAATATCTCTGTAGATTCCACATAACACAGGATTCGGAATGCGACTGTTCTGGGAGACCTCAACAAACGTGAGACCACATCTTATTCGACTGCCATGGGGCTAAGAACCACGCCGAAAAGCTGCAATAAGGGATGTTGTATGTAAGGGTGGACAATGGCCACCAGACTATCACATTTTGATTAAAGACCACATTGAAGCCTTAATTAATTTTGTTAGTAAAATTGTATTAAACTAATTGTAAATATTAATTGTATTAAATTATATTAATGTAATTGTATTGTGTTAATTAAATAATTGTAAATGGATATGAGTACCTAAAATCACTATGGGATCAGGTACTTAAAAAAAAATATCTTGGTAGCGATGTAAGACCCTTCAGCAGTTGCTCTGGGAATGTTAAGCTCCTTGGCCACGTTTGACTTCTTCCATTTTCCATTAGTGCTATGATTCTAGCCGAATCTGTATCACTTAAAACTACCACTAAAACAAATTTGAAACGTAAAAATGGTACGAATCAAACCATCGGAACGTTAGAAAGACTTTTTTATATATAAAATATGTATTTTATTTACCACTAATGTTTTAAACCGTACAACATATTGTTTTAAGATAATCAATAGATGGTTGTCGAAGAGATAATTAAAAATATTAAGAGTGGCCACTTTTTTTGCCGCTCAGTGTAGTTCGGTCTGGCAAGTCTGCTTGTGTTTGATCAAGGCTTTCCCTCATCTTCAGTGCATTATTTTTGTTAGTGAAGTTAAAATAACACAAATACCCAATACTGAATATGACGAAATGTCTACACGCTTTAAGACAAACCAAAGCGATAGGCGATAGACTTCGACAAACATATCGCAATCGTGTGTTTAACTTTCAAAATATACAAAACCATATTTCAATTGTTAACATTTTAGATCGTCGTTCTAATAGCACCTATTACGATGCATCTTAAAAAGATAAAATAGGTTGATATTAAAGGAGAGCTTCCGTGTGTCTGGTGCACGTAAACTAATCGAGATGCGAGGAGTTGAAAAAAAAAACAACAAAAAAACAACAACTAGCAGATGTGAATCATCTTGCCACACTGGCTAACGAGCATTTTCAGCAAGTGATGTAACCGGTATAATATATACCGGATCTATAATGGTTTATGTCATCGTTCGAAAATCTTTTAATTTGATGAATTCAGACAAGTTTAATATTTATCATACAGATGGTAATAATTGTAGAGGGATAATTTGAATATATTATGACTCGCGTTAATTTTTACGGTTTTATTCAATCAGAAATGTCTGGTTTGTTTTGAATCATTCAATAGGATAGGGGATGGTCTGAAACAAAACTTACTCGCCTAAGAAAAATCAGAATGACAGACTAAATAATTAAATATCGGATTTTTCCTTACCCTCTAATTTTCCGCTGACGTGATTATTTTCTGTTTAATTTAGTTTGTTTGTAAACAAATTGTTTTCGGTAAACAACTGATTTCAGATTGATTAGTTGTTTTCTCTTTGCTGAGATGGGACTGTGGGCTTGCCTGTTTAGAGAGATTTTTTACCATGGAAAGTCCAAGTCCAACCACTCAGGAGATAACCGAGTCTGCCTTATCACGAGCATATTTAGTTTTCCATTTACAGAACCTTGAGTATGTCTTCTCGATATCTCAGTGCCCAGAGTCGTTAAGAGACATATCTGCTGTCATTGGATTTCAAATAGATATCAATACGCAGATGGGAAAGCCAAATGAACCTCCATTATCTCCTGGGTTAAACCGAAGAACGCAGGGAAGTTTTTTTTCCACGAAATCTATTTAAAAAGGTCATTTCAATTAACGATTTGGACACAAATCGGGTTGCGTAATTGAATATAGTTCAAAAAGTCGTACTCTTTCACGACAATGCAAGTTCGTAGTTCGTTCAAAAATTCCACTAGGAGCGTAATCCCCGGAAACATTAATCTTTGCAGGTTAATTGTTAATACATAGACACATCCGAGGAAAAATGGATTTCTTTAACAAAAATACCTTTCACATTTCTCTGTGGAGACTATTTCTTCAAGTACGATTACCCCTAATGACAGACCGAACGAGCGAAACTAGGCCGACCGGGACCATCGAACACGACCCAACTACAGGTACATCACCCTCGGGGCCTAAACAAGAAATATGGCAATTTTTAATTATAATATTCAGAAAGACTGCCATATTTCGGATTATTATGTTGACTATGTTACTGCAATTTAAACTAATTTATATAATCTAATAGTTTTAGCTACAAACATGATAAGGCAGATTTTCCTGGAAAAACTGTAATTTTTCCATTTATGCAAATGATGGCATGTTACATCGTAGATAAAATCACTATTTTTTAAGTAAGAGTTTTATATAATTTTTGGAAAAGATAGTTCTTCTCATAGAAGTTTCAGGCAGCTGTTCTGCCTAAAACATCTGTGTGTACGTCTACCTTTTCCAAAAAGTGAATTGCCATACTCACCCCACCTCCAATAATTTCTATTGGAGTTTTATTTTACTAAACGACTTTTATTACCCTGACGAATCCTTGATTTACCAATTTGTGTATTAAGAGAAAGTGGAAGTTTCGCTTTTAACATAAAATTCCGACGCGAGCCATTAGACAAGGGACACTAATTATAAATATTTCGTCAATGAATATTGAAACCGGCATTAAATCGCCACGAGCTGCATTAAGTCAAGACAAAAGACGTATTTACATCGAATGTGAAAGTTTTCTAACGAGGAAGTCCCACTGAGTTTAATTCGTTGAAAATTTTGGTTAGGAACACTAACATCAGGGATTTCCGACCGTTTCTCCTGGATTAGGATACTTTCCCTTGTAAACATTAAATAGATATGCCCTAGTAACGGTTTTCGATGGAATATTTATGTATTCCGAAAATTTCTAAGTACGAAAAAATCGTTACTATGCCCGACATCAGTAAAACGACACCGTTCAAAATGAGTACAGTGTCCGATTATTCTGAATTGAATGTTGGCTCAATTTAGAAAATTGGTCGATCGTTTCATTAAGAACGTTTCGAAAGATCGTAGTTAGAACTTTTAAACAAATAACGATTTGTAATAATGACCTCAGCCCGCACAGGTGCCGCTTATCTACAGAAAGGTTGCTTGATGTGCCCCACATAATAGACGTGCCAACCAAACTGAACAATGAAGATGGCAAAATGCTGAAACTGACAAAAATCAGCCAGGCAATTATTCGTACTTTCACCCCCAAGGGTTGTCACTGACCTTACTGCCTGTACATCAGTTCACCCACCCCGTTATGTGGCGGGCCCAGAGATCGTCGTTTCCCGATATGAAAAAAGTAATAAAACTGTAATCACGATATATTATTTCGTATATTTTATAAATATGAACACCTATTAAAAAATAAACAGACATGTTTGAAAAATATATTCCTACAATTTAGTATTTCCTTCTGATGGGTCTCATCCCTGATCTTTTTTTTTACATATAATTTCACACGAATAACATGACAATTTTTGTTCCACATTATTTAAGGCTTGAATTGTAATCAATAAACCAGTTTTCGTTTTTTTTTATCAGTGTTTTAGAAGTAATTGCCGAAAGCCAAAAGATTATCCATTTTCTATTAAACATCTACATTTTATGAGAAATTTGTTTGATCGCGGATATAATATTAATATCAGCGTAATTTTATATTAAAAATCTGGGATAAGCCCAATTTGAAATAAAACATTCAGTTTCTTCGTCGATCTTTCGCGGAATTTACCCTTCTAATCTTCTAAGATCTTTGAAACTTGAAACTCCAACAAAGTTTTTTTTACAATTTTGAAGGCCAACAATTAAGACATATTTTTATTATTTGGAAAGGCTGGTTCTCCTCAAAAACTGGTTTTAACATCTAACCGGATTTCGCGTATTTGTACATTGTAAATGTAACTATTGTTTTTGCATGTGCGTTTAATCCTTCCACAAAGTGAATTGACTCAATTATTTCTAACAATAATGACCATATTTAAAGTAAGAAATGAATTTACAGTGAATGATATCAAACATCCGTCAATTCTTCAACAGAAATCTAAGTGCATTCAGTACGGAATCGACAGAATTTGTTAATTGTAGATGCGGATCTAGGATGTGGTCCAATGAACAAAACTTTTATAAGTTTGCCAAGTTTTGGGGTATAAATTTCGCTTTCCGCAGGGCACTACAATGGGTAACCATTTTTGATTATGTGTGGTGTTTAGTGACGGTTAGTTACGATTATTTGGAGGTCGTGAGATGCGGTCTGGTGTGATGTAGGTTTTAGAAAAACATTTTCTTTATCGTGCCAACGTTTCGATCTTTATTAAGATCATCTTCAGGGCCTGGGATTTATAAACATTGTTTAAGTTATAGAAATACATGTAGGATGTGAAAAAAATGAATTTATTCAATGCTAGAAATTTTAGACTCAATCAAAGTGTTTGTTTTTTGTATAGATCGATAAAGAAACTGTTTTTCTAAATATAAGTCACATCAGACCGCATCTCACGATCTTCAAATAATCATTTTTGATTATTAACAGTATTACTATGTACTTCAATAAAATTAGCAAAATTTACGTACAATTTATGAAAAAAATATATACACATAAAAGAGATCTGGAGTCCACATAGGATTTTTCGTTAAAAATCCTTAGTTATGAAAACTATATACACTGACAGGCAAAAAAATTCCACCCACTTGTAATATAACTTGATTTGTATATAGTTTTATATATTAATCAAAGTTTCGCGTTTTTTAACGTTTAATAATTGAGTTTTTGTCTAAAAATGTAAAAAAAAGGTAAATAGCAGGAAAAAAGACGGAGAGATAAAATTTGTTTTAATTATATTTTTAATTATCATTTCAATATCGCGTAGTTCCTCTCTTGCCTTAATTACACCTCGAAGGGCCTCGTCATACTTTCTACCAGTCTGGAAAAGTCTCTTTGCTAGAAGTTAGCCCATTCTTCACGAAGAGTCCTATGAAGATCGTGAAGTGTAACAGGAAGTGATTGACGTGCTTTTGAGGTTATCCCATAAATGTTCGATGGGGTTCAAGTCTGGCGAACGGGCTGGCTTGGCAAGACACACTGATGTTATGCTGTTGAAGGTACAGGAGGTTATGCTATTCCAGCTACATGTGGACGTGCATTACCATCCAT